TCCAGGTGCGATCTTGCTATTCAACCAACTTTCTGCTCAGAGATAAAAGCTACAGACAAGGACCATTTGGCTCCACAAAACATATGCAACCGATAATGCGTGTAGTTTAGTTGAGTGATTCCTCCTTAGATGGACGTTCACAACGATCCTGGTGAGCAAACGTGGAATGACTGTTTGCGCCCTAAAAACTACCTAGTTTGCAAGATGACATCTTATAGGTTTTTTTGACGTTTTATAGGCTTACAGGCTGTCAAAGTTGACAAAATTTCCAGTAGGTACATGTTTTTTCAGTAAGTATATTTGCCTATAATTTTTCGGAATATCATTTTAAGTATGCCAATCTACCAATAGACTGATCCCACACAAAAACTCACCCTGTAGAACACGTTGAGAACCATAAGAGTTAGAGCACATCCAAAGTCGAACAAATTGTACTTTGAGTACCTTGTGGGATATACTGCAAAACGAGATATCTCCCTGAACCTAAAGACAAATCACTGGTTTCGATAAGATCATAGGACGCAGATCAATACTCTTTGTCGCCAAGATTACCAGGACTTACTTCCTTTTTATGAAACAGCACCACACTGATAAAAGAATATTTATTTACGCGACTTAAATGAATCAATCACTAGTTTATAGACTGTTTTTAAAGTTTATGAACTGATTATATTTCCACAAGGTGAATCCCACATTACACGGTTAATCGAAATGACGATTATGCATTCCACGTGTCAGACAGAGCTAACTAAATGCAACAACGTAACAAATTGTATTTTTTGAATATAACACTGCCCATTTTAGTTCTCGTGCCGATTTTATCGAATTGTAATCGATGTAATTATCCGGTAATCATTGACTCCTCTTGGAAAGTGCTGCTCGAATGTTTATGAATTTTTGCCAAATGGAAGAGCTCTATGATTTTTAAAATCGTTCCAGCGGCAGCGGAGCTAAGGGCGAGAAACAAAAAAAAGCGGTCTTTTGATGTTGAGGCTCGTTTTCCGAAAATAGGTTTGGCGTTGAAAACATATTATACCTATATGCTTCTAGTTCTGATAATTATAATACACATTATAAACACGTATGTAACAAACATATTTGATACATACGAAAGTATAGGAAAAAGCCTGTAGCGAGGTAGCCGCTACCACTGGCAGGTTGCTCATGAGGAAAATGCTTGACGAAGACCGGAGAGTGACATACCAACAGAGAAAGAGACGACCTTAAAAGTTTTGATTTCTTGTAGACATAAGTATTTTTTTTTAAGGGAAATAAATGTTTGCTTGTTTATTCCATCTATGTGCCGGATCTACCACCATGTAATAAGCTCATTCCTAAAATAAATTCTAAGTTGAAAATTGTCTCAACAATATATATTATGGGGATTATTCCAGGAATAAGTTTATAGCGCGGCTGTAGAATCGTCCACAAGTGTGTTATTGCGTCAGAACAGCCTATATCCTTATACAGCTGGAGCAAAAGTTCCTTTATCCATTTTGTTACGGCAAATGGGTCTATATCCAAACTCTATAGCTAAATTACATCCGCTTTACTCACTCCACGATTATTTTTGTTGCTTGTATTTGTTTTATAACCCAATAGGAACGGTTCAAAACAAAATTATAGCCGTTACAACTTTTAACTTAGTTAGAACAGTTTTTCGCCAATTGTGGAAAATTAGTGGAAGGGGATATAGGCCCTTTTGCAGTGAGACGCCTCACATATTTCATACATACGAAAGTATAGGAAAAAGCCTGTAGCGAGGTAGCCGCTACCACTGGCAGGTTGCTCATGAGGAAAATGCTTGACGAAGACCGGAGAGTGACATACCAACAGAGAAAGAGACGACCTTAATCTTCATGCACCAGCAATTCATTCAATTCTGCATGACCATTTACACGGAAGGAAACTTTGTTCTCTCTGGGTACCGCAAAGTCTGACGGAAGAGCAGAAGACTCGTCGTACGACTTGGTGCCGAAAGATTCCGAAAATGTTTGATAAGGGGCAATCTCGGTATGTGAAAAGCATCGTGACAGGTGACGAAAGGCTCAAAACAAAGTTTGGGTCTTTGATGATGGGGACACACCCGTAGCTGTGAGAAAATCCCGATCTGATAAGAAAAAAATGATAGCTGTATTTTTCAAATCGAGCGGGATTGTAGAGCGTGTCAAGAATGGACACTTGGTACCTCCACCATGATAACGCTCCAGCTCACTGCGCCAAAGCCTGCACCGAGTATTTGACCACTACTGGACTGAAACGCATTGAGCACCCTCCTTACAGTCCAGATCTTGTTCCCTGCGACTTTGCACTGTTTCCGCAGCTGAAGATGAAGCTAAAAGGAAAACGGTTTTCTAGCGATTAGGGCTTGTGCCGTACTCCCGGGTGAATCGTGGCAGAGCTGGTTGAAGAACTGGTTTTGGTGGATGGAGAAGTGTATTGGATGTGGTGGAAATTTCTTTGAACGCAGTCAATAAATAAAGCTGTATTACAAAGCTTTTAAGTACACTTTGTATTTGTACTTATATCTCGCATAGCGATTTGTATATGACTTGCAAAAATTAAATTTTTGTCTAGTAATACTAGCAAATTTTTAGCTTCCTCAACTAATTCAATGTTGATGTCCCCTAGTTTGCAAAATGATCTATGCACGTCAGTCGGAGGAATTCAATATTAGAGCTATGCGGTCTGATATGCTAGGTGTATTATCTCTCCTTAACCTCTCCAAACTAAAGGGTGGTTTCTCACATGACTTTAAGGAGAGCAGTGAACACAGTGTGTGCCAAGCCTTTTTAGAAAAGAGTTTTTTGGCACTGATCAAGCTACAGTGGCTACAGAGGCAAAACAACTGAGACGACCTAAGGGGCTTGTACTGAACAAGATCTGTGAAAAAATATAACATTTATTTGGAACTATTTCACAGTATAATTATATGGATAACAACAGATATTCTTTGTGGTATTTTTGCACTGCTATGTTATTAGCTTGAGCAGGAACTATGAAAATTAATTTATTCTCACGCATTTCGCATATAATGACTTTTATAGCTTAAACTAGAATGCAGTTTCATCCAACTGTAAAAAATCACTTAAAAAAATTGTATTCCAATAACAACATATACACAAAATAGAGATCTTTATTTTTATCTTATATTGTTCTTAACGTACATTCAACGTCACATACCACATAATTCTCTATCAGGTATTAGGTCACTAACTATCTTGGTAAATTGATCCAATGGGCAGAACTCTTCACACGCAGGTAGTTTCAAGAGCTTTGGGCCACCTCCACTGTAATTTTCGTAAAATATTTTAAATCCATGTACTTTATCGATCAGATGGACCTCCAACATTATGTACGATCCATATGGAGGTATGTGTGGAGACTGGAAAATTCCTAAGACAATCAATAGCTTTGCTATGTTGTCTTCATGAGCTGAATAGAGGTACAGCTTTTTACCCGCTGCAGTGCCGTTTAGGACTTTAGTGGTATCTCTAATCACCTGAAAGTAACCCTTGATATATTATATTATACAATGGATTACCACTAACCAGTCAACTCAAGCACCTAGCAGGAAACCTTGATCCCTCGTCGCTGCTTTTAAAATCATACGTCGCTAATAGAGCCACACCAAGACAGAACTACCCCTTAGACCGAATAACGTGAAGTATAATGTTTTACTAGTATAGTATTTCTGGTAACCAAATGTAAATTGGGGGTCAATAGTTCATCCTGTCCCAGCTCCTCTTTCTACTAAGCTTCTTAATAAAAGAAATCCTAATGAGGGGGGTAAAAGTAAAAATCTTATATAATTTATCAGATTGAATGCCATATCAGGTGCCCCTAATATTAGGGGTATCAGTCAATATCCGAATTCCCCAATTATAGGTATTATTACACTGATAAAAAAAATGATGACAAATCCATGGGCAGTAGCAATAACATTCTAGATTTGGTCATTTCCAATAAGTGAACTTGGACTTCCCAATTCAGCTCCAGCATCGAAGTCCCGGCTATTCCAGCTCAAGCTCCAAATATTAAGTATAAGGTGCCAATATCTTTATGATTCGCAGAAAATAATCATTTGTTCAGTGAGATGGCTGAGTATAGGCAATAAATTGTAAATTTATGAACGGAATAAAAAAATTTATCTCACTAAGCTTTGTATTCAAAAATGATATTAAATTGCAAATTTAATGGTAAAGTCAAACTTTTAAAGCTTTAACTACAAAACCGTTTAAGGCTCAGAATAAACCATTCTATATCCAACTTTGAAGGTTAAAAGTTTAGTTTTAACTTAAATCCTTTACAGCCTATTAAAGAAAAAATTTCCAACAAATTTAATTAATATGTTAATTTTAAATTTGGCCACTTAAAAATGGTTTTATTCCTGAATAAAGTATGAAAACTAATAGATTATAGTTAAAACATGTTTTAACAGTAAATCGAACTAAAAAGCATAAAATAATAATTATAGGAGAGTTTGTAATAGAAAGTCCAACAATCAAGTATTACTAATTAAATTGGAATGAGCTCAATGTAAAAAATTAAGATATTAACAAAAAAAATCAATTATAGTATCATAGAAAAGCATGGGGGCTTGATATTAAATATCATAATGATTTTTTTAGTTGCTATACACGAAATTGTGTTGCTTTTTTACTGTAATTGAATTTTTGGATAATATCTTAATTTTTATATTGGTCTTATTCCAAATTAATTCGTCATACTTGACTGTTGGACTTTCTAATGCAAACTCTCCTATACTTAGAAGTTATTTCTACATTTTAGTTCGATTTGCTAAAGCGTATTTATTCAGTTTTCTTAAACTATAATTTATTTTCTGAATTTTTAATATAAAACGACAACAAATGTATTTATAATCAAGAGCTTCGATTTTTGCAATATTTTATATTTAACCAAACATTTTTTCAAATTTCTAAAATCAATTTTTTTCAGAATTTTATATTTTTCAAATTGACAATTCTGGAATTTTTGTCCAAATTTATGAATTTTCCAATTTTTGAAATCCATTTTTTCCAAATTTCAAAATTCTATTTTTTAAAAATTCGATTTTTTTAACATTTTTGTTTTGCCGTCGGCCATTGACCGTTGTTCAAATTCTTAGACTTCTTCTTGAAGTCTTTAGAAACATTATCCCACCTGAGTGATCTCTGTACATGTGTTATAATAACCCAGAATGAGAAAATGCTTTCATGGGAAACATATTGTTTCTGACATATTTTCAAGCCCCAAAGCATCATAAAGCTTTGCTCTCCAGGGACTAATGTATTATTGATTTGGGTCGGTCTGATCTCATGTTATAAAAATCTACACAAATTTCATGTTAAAAACTCAGTTTGGAAAAATGGCAAATAACAATTGGCCATGTTTGACCACCTTGGAAAGGTCCCAAGCAAATAGTTGCTGCATTTGAATCAGCATATTTTGATCTTATTTGTTCCATATAGTCGTTTTTGTCCATTAATGTTGGCAAAGTATAAACTTATAGTAGGGAACTTATAGATGTACCAGGAAGGGACTGATGCCTGAGTAACAAATGAGGTAGAGTAGAGATGCTAAGTGGCGCTTCAGTCACAAAACAACAGAGAGGGGTTGAATTTTTGACGGGCCACTGGTTATTCATGGCGAAACTACAGAAATAGGGTTGACAATGTCAATCCGTATGCATTAAAAGATCGAAGAGACAAAACAGATCACATACTAAGTTCTGCTCTATTAACAACTCGATAAATCAAAAGGGAAGACAATGGGGCATAGCCTATTGAGTTTCATCAATGGGGTCGATTTATATCTAATAACTGCAACTGGCTTGGCAGCATCAGTTACGGAACTGATCTCTAGCCCTCTTGTAGTTAAATAAACTCTCTATTACGCATTGAAATAATAATGAAAACTGGCACCTGTCACCCTATAACTAAAGACTATTGCATGAAAATAAGTTTTTGAACAATAAGCGATTAACAATTAGTTTAAAAGCTAAAAGTATCTTACTACAACTACTAGAAGTATCAAGGTCTGACAAAAATAGGTACTTGTTATAGCAACCATCGTTTATCCACAGTATAAGTAATATAGCTTTCGCTCGTCCGACCACAGACGGCCCATCATGGACAGGTGTTTCTTGCTATTTGGCAAGTCCTCAGCATGGTGCAGGCCTGGTACTGAAATACAGTTCCATTTTCGCAGTGGTCGATTCCGGTGACAGGTGCTGTCTGATTTCGATAGACCTTTTACTTTGAATAGAGGATAGTTGCTCAGCTTCCGTTCATTGTCCTACCTGAAACAAAGCCTACACCATGCTGAGAAGTTGTCAAGTATCACGAAACAGCTGTCTTTGATAGGACGAACGAAATCTATATTACTAGCAGTTATAGCGATGAACATGATGAACACAAAGTCAAGAAACCAGCCAAGCAAGATTCGATCTGATGGAACAACTGAAACGATCTAGGTGATGAAGGCAAAACAAAGTTAAACATAGATCTTACCTTCTCTAAGAAGTACCCTACTGCCATTTGTCTCATTTCCCTAGTTTTCGTCATAACATAATATTCTTGTACAGCTAAAGTGTTCATAGGCTCCGGCCAAACTTCTTTTGTCCAAGAAGGGAGTGCGAGACCCCAATCTTCTTCGATCAGCAAGCCAAAATAAAGGTCGTAAATATCAGCATAACGCGTAACGCTTAGGCCGGTATTTTTAGATACAAAATCTAATATCACTTCATGGTTCCTCAATTCGCCTTCGAGTTCCTTAGAGTTACTCACGTTATTGTAAAGCTTTCTGTATGTCGGACACATAAAACCGCGTAAAACCTGAAAGAAAATACGGATAAACCTGAAAATGATATCTTTGGGACAAAGAAAAGCTGTCCAAGTAACTAGGACGTTCAAGCAGTAAAGTTACACGTCCATCTATTGGACTTAACCGATCATTTGGTTACAATAAAGTTCTTCTAGATAATTTCACACAAACAAAGAAGCAAGAATAAGATTAAGCTATACAACCAACTTTAGATTCTATTCCAATATGATAATTTAGACGACGAGAAATTCCATTATGGTCAATATCCTTATCCTGACCGACAAATGAAACTATATCAGTTGAACGCATCACTTTGCTTTTCATGACGTGATAGCCCTTTTCAAAGTACAAAATTGAAATTATGTGTAATAGATGTTTAAGTCAATTTTTATTTCCAAACAGACGGAACTGGAGTAACATAATTTATTAAATATTTCTCTGATTCCGCTAATTTGCCAAAAGCAAGGAGATATACCAGTGAGACATCCACAGGGTGTTTCCTAAACTAAATTAACCTTACACTTATACTCATAAGCTCATGTCAACAATGAAAATGTGGTAACACTTACCGGATCATGGTTACTAGGGAGGTAGTCATAAGGCACAGGTTGCCAGTAGAGTCCAGTCTCAAACATTTGCTCTTTATTTGGGAGAAACAACGATGCCAGGACCAATTCGAGAGACATCTTCGTTCTGTAGTAGTCTGTCGATAAAGCTTCTACTATTTGAGGCAAAAAGTAGTCTCCCAGAAAATGCTTATATCTATCTCTCAAAGCGCGACCAATATTGAATTCCTTTTGTTTGCCCGCCTGGAACATCAGTGATGTTCATATAATTTGTGGATTTTTGAAAGGCTCTACAAGCACGATATACAGGGTTTCTAATACAACTTAATACATTGTCCTATCTCAGAAATCAGCAGTGACCGCACAAAAAATGTTAAACTACTCAGAGTTGCTGCGCTAAAGAGTATTTATTTTAACAAAAATCTGGAATTTGAATTTATCGGCTATATATGGTGGTAGATCCTTTAGCGTTACAATGATGAGTGGTTTCACCACTGACTAAGCCAGCTGTAAGATAAAATTTTGAAGTCAGCTTAGCTTTTAAAAGATAAATGTATTTAATACAAGTGAATTTTATGAATGTACGGCAATAAAACTTCAGAAAAATACACATATTTTTCTGCAAGAGAGCGCTAACTACAAGAGTATTCAGTCTAAAATATTATACGAAAACATAAAAAAAAACAGTTTTTCTTGAGTTGAATATTTTGAAGTTTGTATGTCCATTTGATGAACTGAAATATGGAAGAATAGGGTGGTGCGGAATTATATGAAGCCGATATCCGCCATGAAGGGTATTGTCGCTTGTTGCTACAAGCACCTTTCAAGGTGACTGCTTTTGCCAAAAAACGTATAAAACCTATCTTAAAAATTGAAGAAAATGATGTCAGGCATGTAAACACAAAATATAGTGAAAATTGTACGTGGAATCCGAAAAGTATATAAGTTATAGAGGTTGCTATTAAAAAAATTAACTTGCAGCTCATTTAGTAAAAACTGGACAACAACAAAAAATGCAATAAACTACAGTTTTCATTTGAAACAACAGACTTTTGTTTCTAACATGTTTTGTATACCCACTGGTTCCTGAGATAAGAATATGGATCGAGTTATGTTGGATACCCTGTAAATACATTAACAATGGGGAATACCTTTTTATATACTTATGTAGATATTATGCATATGAGTCAGATAGTATGAAAGTATAATCCACGCAATCTTAGTGAAGAACGAAATTATTACCTTTGTCAGCTGACCATATCCATATGGGTAGTAAGTTTCATTGATATATGGGTCCTTAGGATACAGCTCGTGTGGTTCTGGAGTACGATTGCCATGTCTAAAAAGCTGAAAAGGTTTATGCTGTTTAGTATGGGGTGCTAGATTAGCATGCGCCTTCAGATTCTCAAAATATAATGCAGAAGAAAACATTTTTAACTTGCTGGAGTCTGAATTTTCATAGGATAGCTTTTTATTTGTTCTATAGTTCTGTTTATATTCTTGTGCATTTTACTAGTGAATTCTTTAACGGAATTTTTCACTTTATTATTCCATTCAAAATTTTGAATCTTAACGTATTTTTTCAGAATTTTGTAGACCTGAGGAAGGTGTAAAATAAACGCTGAAATGTTAAAAATATGTTTTAAAGGCATTGTTAACACCTGTTTTATACCAATTAAAGGCGTATAACAGACATTCGGATAAGAAATTGTTTCTTTTGTATCACTAAATTAGTATTGATTTAACCACAAAAATTCTTTATTCCGCATTTAAATTGGAATGTTAGTCGCTTGCAACAAGACTTAGACGAACTAAGTACTCCTTATATATATTTACTACCCAAAGACCCCAGACTGACCTATGTCTGTTTTGAAGATCTAAGTATAAATTAATTGTGAACAGTGCTTGTTATTGCTCAATGATCTAAAGCACCAGAAGGTACAGGTGTCTGAGAACATACCAGGTAAAAATAGTATGCTTACTCCCAACCAGAAAGACGCAGTATAAAGATGAGGTTCATGTTAAGTACCAACTTGTAATAATCCTTGAAAATTAGTTGAATAAACAAACAGAAAGCAGAATCACACTTATCAAACAAAAGGTTCGAAATGGTATGGTGGTCAGTCTACACCGGGCGTTTCAAATTCCACCCTTACCATTGTGATCTAAGAAACGGTAAGAGATACGAAGTCGCTCAAATGTGCGGCAAAGAATTTATTTAACTAACAGAATGCCGCTTTAAAAATTTCGAAATTCAAAGTTCTACCAGATAGAGACGGAATAGCCGAGTTTTCCCAAAATTCGGTTTTTCCCGTCGCTCTGCGAAAGTACTTTGAATTTGGAATGCTTCTAAGGGGCATTTTGTTAGTTACCTGCTGACGTCGCATCTATCACCATTTCCGAGATCCCAATCGTGAGGGTCGAAATTGAAACACTTGGTGTATGTGATTGACATGCAAAGCCATGCTGTTAATAGGTAGTAGTAATGTAAATTTGACGTTATTATTCATTATCATTAAGCATTCCAAACTCGCAATTCTGTCTTGTTTCTTTTGGCGTGGGTAGTGTTTATAAAAATTCAGATGAATATAATCATTACATATACTATCGATTTGGAAGCGAGCAATTAATAAAGAATCCCGCAGACCAATATTTTATAATTATTGAAATATAATGCAATTAAAAAATGATATATATTGCAATAAACACGCAAATCCGGAATCGCGTGGTCAGATCACCAAAAAAGACCACTGGATAACGAAGGACAAATGTCGCCGAAAATTAAAGAAGGTAGTTTTGAGCAAACGCGATGTTTCTAGAAACTCTAGTTTCAATTGAATCAACATAGAGCCAATTATGAGAAAGTATAGAACTGTAACATCGGCAAGAGACAACATCGCAAAAAATGCTCGCATGTGAAACTTGAACTCATCAAACCCTCTTGATTGCTTTATCTAAAGATTTTACCACAGTGAACAGAGTTCCTATATTTCGTACTGACAATCAATCAGTGCAGTTTTTTCTTCAATTATCGGAAGCGTATTTGAAAGCAACAGCTTCGCCAAAATCGATATGAAAAGTATATGCCGATTTTTTTAATTCTCTAGTGCCATTGATAAGAGACTTTCTTGTTTAAACAGTGCTTCAAATCAGGATAAAATAAAGTTCTGGATACAGTAAACGGTCAGGAAGAAAAAATATAATGATGCTGATAATATAATTTATAGGAATTAATAAATTGGGAACTTTCAGCCATGCCGATTGTTTCCATCTTTAATGAGTATTACACCGAGTATTACAGGAGATAAGTACGGATTAGATCTTGCAAGAACCTCACAGGCAAGAAATCATTCCAATATGATTTTCCTGCAACTAACTGTAAAATGTCGTAAAAGATCACTAATATCACATCCACCGTTCAGCAATTCTAATCTTTAAGATTCCTCTATATCATTTATCACTTACCACATGTGATAGCACCAGAGTTTTCTCCTCTTCACTCACTGCTGACTGGGTACCCGCACCAAACCGAAAAAATATCAATCCAATTAATACCAGGCATGCAACTGCAAGAAAAAGAAAACTGCTCATGCATCTATATTTGAAGCTACTTGAACCAATGGACTCTTCGCGAAAGTCTGATAAGAATGGCTCCTGTTCTGTGAATTCATCTCTTTTGTAGGGCATCTCGCATTTTGGACCTAATGATGTACAGCTTGGAAGGCAGCTAGTAGTATGACTACATCTAAATGATAAAAATCATGACAGAACAATTAATCTACCAAACAAATTATATTCTATTCTGTGGATAATTTGCTCTGATAAGTGTACCAGATTTGTTTAACCAAACAAGAATCTATTACTCAAATCGTAAGCTGAAGCTTGAACCAGATGGGACACTAAATCCACGCTTAATATACGATAATATTAGTTCTCTTCTTCTCGCACAAGAATACATCTGTCAGTAACAAAATAAGCAAATAATAAGAGACTTCCAAATAATTGAAATAGACTGTGACAGTGAATGCCTTCAATAGACTGTGAGGAGATTAGGTGTCGATTAGAAAACGGTCTTAAACTTTAATATATTTATTATGTTTGATTGTCAACATTAAAAATGTGCAAGTATGAATGAGGTTCATGGCAGCTCTTCAGAAAGACACCGTTTTTGTGTAAAAATGTACATGAAAACATAATTCAAAAGCGATTATGGTTTACTTATCTGCAACTATGTCATGATTAAAGTATTAACTGTTCTTGAAATAAGATGAAGAGTTCCATTTTATAGTCGTGGAAATTCAATTTGAAAGTTATTATTACTTTTGTTTTGAATTCTCAATGATATAAAGACCTGAAGGAAAACTTGTGTGCGGTTTTACCGAAAGGGAAATTAATAAATATAATGATAATTGCTTATAAATATTTCTCATGATATAAATGGAATGTATAATTTAAATAATATTTATAATATAAGTGTGTCGTAACAATAACACTCATACAATACCTATTATATATGCACATTGACGGTTATCGATAGTCATCACTCGGCTTGGTCCTAACAAGCTTCCAGTATACGTCCAATGCCGCTCATCCACACTAACCCTAAGCCACTTGTTCAAGCTAACTACGTCACACCATCAATTATAATCATTGTGTTAATGAACTTTAAATGACCGTCATTAGTGTAGATGAGGATGCGTTAAATTAGATAAACAAATCTCTAGTATCTCCGTATGATAATACACCCATACAATAGTCTACTTTTTACATATCACTTAAATTAATGGCGATCTACTCAGCATTAAACGAAAATAGATTAATCCTTGGAAAGTATAGTCGAGTTTTGATGAAACTTCCACGCAAGGTTACTAAAACGCCAAGTACGAAAATACTTTTTATTTTTTGAAAACTGGTCCAGTAGCTGCGGCAGTAGGGGCAAAAGAACGAACAAATTGAATTCGCTCAATATTTGTTTTTTGCCCCTTCAGACCCTTCGAATCATTTTTAGAAATTATCTGGTGGAGGTTCGGGGTTGTAGGAGTTGGGGGGAGAGTATATCTCAATTTTTTAGTGTTTGGATATTTATACGCTTTCAGCCCCGATAACTTTACGCACCTATTAGACATACTTCACACATCATATTTCCCCGCAGGGATATTACGTAACTTGAAAAGTGCCATCATATCGTTTTTTTTTACATTAGGTCGATTTCTTGACATTATATGGGTTTTTATGACATTATATAGGTTTTCCTACGCGACGTCAACTTGAAACTAACTATCATTCACTTCATGCTCACTTTTGTAACAAGCACGGAACGAACTATTTGCACACTAGCCAGCTCAGTCAACAAGTTGCCATTTTGTCGGTTTTTTCAACATTATGTAATTTTTTTAAGTAATAACCCTGCCGCACATCTAACATCTCGCCGATGGATGTCTGTGTTTCGTAGTCAATGGTGGCTGCCGTGATGCCGTGTCTAGCGAGGGCGAGGTTAGTCATAGCAACGTTGCCAAATGCTCGGTACTCTCGGTAGGGCATGAGACAAATTTATATAGACTAACTAAATGAGCCTATTTGACTGACTTAATCGGTTTATTATTATTTTTTTTTTTGGTTATACATGTTCGCAGGTAACCTTTTTCATCTTGTGGCGGACAATATCCTTTATGCACTGATGACAGTGTTGTGAGGGAAGCACAGAATCAACCTACTTAAAGCCATTTTTTGTTTTTCCTAATATCACCGTCTGTTATAGTAGAGCTAATCCAAACTAAAACAACCAAAAACAGCAAACGCTTCAATTGAGGTGTGAAATGCTATAAGTATGAACATGGAGCGTCCGAATCGGCTACACCAAAAACCCCAAGATTCTCGGGTCAACTCTGATAACCAAGGTCTGATATATTTTGCATATTCTACTTGCATATGAATAAATATCAAACTATACTATCTACCTTTAAAAGGGAACTTAAAACACAAAACCTGATGATCAAGATAGATAAGTTGGTGTGGTATTTCGTTAAACAAACATGTGCTGGAAAGTCACGAATCTCGTCTAGAATATATTACCAAGGAACAACATATCTAACATAGGTTTCAGATCAGTGTGGAGGATTTGCATTGGTGCGTTTAGGGTGAAATTGATTTTGTTGGTCGTGGATATTGAGAAGAGATGGATCGGAACGAAAGAGCATAAGGTGCAAAGATTGAACAGGAGTTTTGAATGAATTAGAAAAAGGCACCGCAGTTATTTTTGATGTAGTCACTTTTGTACTATTTTCGACTAACAAAATTGTATTGAGTAATTTTTATTTTTTCATGAAAATAGGCATGTCTTCAATAAAAAATAATTCTCGACGTGCTAGAAAGGAAAGAAATCTGTGTTTGGAATACATATATTTAAAATCATTGAAAGGGAAAAAAGAAAGTTGAATATGGCAGGCCTGTGTTACTTAAGTAATAGTAAGCGTCCTCAATCAAGATGATTACTACAGCAGTCGCATGATTTACAGGCTAGTAACACTCCTTTAGCACTGAGAGTAATTGAGTTTAGTGTAATAATCGACCTTCATTCACAGAAGAAAATTTTACAGAGATGTGGGCTGTTTGTTTTTCAGCTAAAATTACTGATTCCAAACTGACTAATTAATGACTTTTACAATACACAGTGATCATTTTTGTGCAGATGCTGAAAAATTAGATGAGGCGAAAACCTCGCATTCGTGGGATACATTTTCCAATTACTCTTTTTTACGTGTTGTCACGTTTGTTTGATGCCCTTTAAAAGAACGGGTAAAAATAATAATTTTTGAGGTTACCAAGTGAACGTCTGCTATGATTTACCTCTGCTTATTCATGATTATTGTTATTACCGACAATAAAATTTTCACTTTGTGTTCAGGTTTCGCCATACCTTCTTATTTCGTTATAATTTTCGTTCCAACAACAAATTCATGGACAACTACGGAAATGTATCGCTATACTCAGGAGTGAACAATCCATTTAAATGTACAAAATTCCAATGTAGTGACCATATGAAAAAACAAAGTTGGTGATGGAAGACGAAAGATGAAACCTCGAATTGAAAATTTGACTATGCCATCTTTTGAGGAGAAAAGGTGGCAACAACATGCCATGCCAAGATATATCAATGTATGACGTATTACACATTTTTGGAATGAAAATAAAAAACTCTATTCACCCGTAGAAAAATCCATTATGGCGTCCTTAAGAAAAATAAGTTTGATCCTGGAGGACAAGGACGATGAATGAAATTCTACTTATGCCATCTTGAAGAGGAGAAAAAGTGGCAATTCGTTTGAACGCCCATTACAAATAAAGTTATTGCTATTTACTGCTTCGAACTCCACATTAAGGCTAAGACTGGAAATTTGACAGAGTGATATACATTTTTGGGACGCCTTGTATATCCTACGCAGAAAACAGAATTCCCAAATGGATTCAACATTCCTAAAATTCGATCTCGTTTCCTCCTACTAAAATCGCCATATATAAATGAATCAGATCGCCTCCGATAAAAAACACGTTCTAGGAAATCCATGTGATTTCCCAGAACGCAGTGTTTCTCTTGACCAACAAAATTCCCAAATCAATTACGGGCATCTGCATATAAAGTCTCAATCAGCAACTTTTCACATTACTCAAGATGTACGGCGTCCTTCGTTTGATATGTACATGTGCTCTGGTGACATTGGTCCGAAGTACCGTCCATTACCCTTATATCAAGAGTAGATCTGACCGGTTCAACGACAATGATTATAAGGTAGTGTTTCCGCACAAGGAAGATGAGCAAAGTACTCTGGTGCATGTGCATGTGGTAAGTGCGACGATATTATAATGCATATCTTTTGATGGGCGTATGTATCGGGTTGCTGTTTATCGTATGCAGTTTCACTGTTTTCTGGGGTGCCCAAAATACCGGCAACATGAGGTTAGCTTCAAACTTAAAAGGTAGTAAATATTATATTTCCAAAAAGACTTTGGAACAGAATATATGTGTATCATTTTCAGATTTAAAGATAACGTGTAGAAACATATTTTGTCGAATAACTTTAAAAATGAGCCTAACTGGAGAACATATCATCGGACATCATTAAAGTCAATCGACTGACAAATAAAAAACCGATCCTTGGGAACTATAGAACTTACCATCATAGAAATATGCCACATAACTTGAACAACGATATACTATTCAAAATTAACTATTTGAATATGTTTTTAAATTGAATTTAATATCAAAATCGATACATTTTTTATGTCATTTTAGTAATTACTGGATGTTCCGATCATTTTATGGCGAAATAAATTTTTAAGCATCTCAAAATTACATCTGCCATCTTCCTAAATGGTTCCGAATTTACAATTTTTTATATTCGTGACTAAATTTATGTGCGCATAAAATTTTTGGTAACTTATATTTTTCGTGAATTAATAGCTATTATTATAAGTTGTTTACAACTGTGTGTGTGCATTATTTATACACGATTAATTGATGTTATTTCCTGATTCGCTTATAAATTCATAACAGTTTCAAAATCTACGATCCCTTTGTCCAATACTTTTTGCATTTCACATCAATTTATTGATTTTCCTGCCGTAACAGCAAGGTGTTTTGGATGTACCCGTTATCCTCACATAAATTGCTTTTTAATGAAAAACTAAACTTTGTAGATTGGTATTATTATGGATTTCGACGTGTTCTTTCCGAATTATTGCCTTACACCTTACATATTTGCTGCCCTCGCTAGCATAGTAGAACAGACCGTTTGCCAACATATCTAATCTGACTCCTTCCACTACGAAAATAACTATATGACAAGTCTAGAGAAACATTCCTATATTAGTTAATCCCATAAAATGCACATCAGCCTAACGAGAAACATTATGCTCTTTATGAATTTTCAGTCAAAAGTGGCAGTTGCAGTTCAAGTCGCGAACTTCAAGTTTAAATTATCATTTACGCCCATCAAACATTCGTATAAGCTCGTATAAGGATTTCCATATGTAATAAGTACTGCATTTCAGTTATTTAGGCATGGAAACAGGACAGCTGACAGCGAAGCAGAACTGTACCCAAATGACCCTTACTTAAACTATACATACTTTCCCTATGGATTGGGCCAACTCACAAACGTAAGTGGAAGTAATGTTTTTCCAGACAGTTTTGGAATTTGTCTATAAGCCAAATGGAATTTTGCCTCGAGAAACATGTCCACACATATTTCATTTTACACACGCACATTTCCTGTACATATACTGCAACATAGTTATTCTAAAATGTTGCGTCATTTGCCAGTGATGTTTGTTTAGCTGCACCTAATGTATACTTATATGCCATATCAATACAATGCAGGCGGGGAAAAGAAGAGAATATGCAATCGGCACAGCACTCAGAGAAAGATATGATGACTTTCTTGGTAGTTATTACTACCCAGAAATCGTTGAAGCAATCAGTACTGACTACAACAGGACTAAAATGTCGCTGCAGCTGGTTTTAGCTGGACTGTTTCCTCCTAGAAGAGATGACATATTTAACGGACTTGTTTGGCAACCTGTACCTTTCAACTATCTTCCAAGACCAGAAGACACGGTAAGCTTTACTCTATACATACGGGATACCTATTGCTAAAAATTGCGTTTGAAGTGTTCGTTCGGGAGTTTTGGCTTTCCCTTGTTTATAGAAAATATTTGCAAAAAAGGGTACTGAAATGAGTTTGTTAGTCGATCTTCTGGTGGGAGACACGCTTGAACAGCGAGGATCCTGAATTTGCTTACCTTCAACAAAAAATGTAGATTAAACATGTTGAGCCTATTACTCTTCGAATGTAAGGCTTCTATTTACGACTAAAATTTCCATTGCAGAAGTCTACAAAAACCCTGAAAATTACATTCCCATCATTAATTTGTAATATTCTCTCTAAAATGTGCTTCTTTTGGAATAGGAAAGACTGATTGATTCAAAAATGTGATGTACAAGTATGGTTAATTCAATATTACAGCTGCTAAACTCCACGGTTTCCTAAATTTTATATAAATAGCGTATACCTAGCAGTTGCAAGACTATTTGAATAATAAAATATATCATTACTGTAAATACAAAGTTTCACTAACAAACAGTCGTCCAAGTAGCAAAGCAGTTCTTTTTGTGGTGTGTTAATTTCAATGGCCCACAAAATTGTTTTTCATATGCCTGAGATTTGACAAATTTTTTAGACGTTTTTTCCACAGTTTCCTAAATTTCATATAAATAGCGTATACCTAGCAGTTGCAAGACTCTATTTGAATAATAAAATATAACATTACTGTAAATACAAAGTTTCACTAACAAACAGTCGTCCAAGTAGCAAAGCAGTTCTTTTTGTGGTGTGTTAATCTCAATGGCCCACAAAATTGTTTTTCATATGCCTGAGATTTGACAAATTTTTTAGACGTTTTTTTTTTGAAGGCTGAATTCGAATCCGGGGTTATTTCGAGGGATACGACGTCAAAATTTGAAGTTACGGGGATTAAAAAAAAATCCATTATCAAGTATGGCGACTCTATCCGAGGAAGCTAACCCAAAGATTGAACATTCTTGATACAAGTCCAAAAAAACATTAAATGCAAATCTGAAAGTAATATGAATCGATGTAACTCCACACGAGGACTGAATAGAGGTGAAAAATGATTATTCTTCGGTTTGAAATAACTTTAATAAATACTATGATGAAAAATAATATAATTTTATACTTCAGAATTTTTTAATCTAGCACTTCCGCCTTAGTTAAAGAAATTAAAACTGTTAAGTTAAGAATAAGTTATTTAGTGACTTTGTATGTTGTCCCAAAGATGAGGAACCAAGCCTGGACCTTGCTGATCGTCGGAAAGACGAAATTATCATATTTAGGGAGAAAATAAATTGAAATCTTTAAGTAAAAATTCACTTTCAAATGGTAAAATACGAAATTTAATGTAGAAGGGCTGTTTCTGAAAATTTCCATCGCCTTTCCCAATCGTTTTAATGTTCATCAGATAATTCCCCTATATTTTTTCAGAACCGAAGAATACATTTTCTCAAATCTTTTCACCCCTGGTTTTTATCGATTCATTTTGCTTACTTTCAGATTCATATTGAACTCTTTTTAAAAATTGTATCAAGAATGCTCTTTACATTCCTTGGGTTAACTTTGTCAAATGGATCCCTAATTCTAATCCTTGAAGTGTATTTGTTTCAGTTTTTCTTCCCTTTTTACTTCCGTAACTTCAACCTTTGCCCCCAGACTTGCTGAAATAATACTGAACTCGAATCTAAGAAAGGTGGTCTGATTTGAGACAAATTAATTTTTTGGTGGATCTGTATTTCTTGAAGAAGCAGGTAATATTTGAAAATGAAGAAAGCTTTCAACAACTCGAATATAATCTTAATAATACTGATAGCAATCAAAACAAACTAGTGCGGCGCTAATCACTTCAACGAGTACTCCGTACTCGGCCTTTTCAAAAAAGTACTACTCGGTGAATCCGTGTTTCAGACTACGAACACTTTGCAAGGTGTTCCCAAAATACGAGTAGAAAAGCATTATATCAAGTACTTTTGCAATATGATTTATTTCAAGAGAATCTAGCTAAAATATATAAACTGTATAAAAAAGCTCAAAACGAGTATTTTGCAAAAACATTCAGATTGTTTTTTTATGAATCTATTGTGTTAACACTTTTGACACGGTTTGCCTGCATTTAGAACATATCTTTCGGTACACTTATAGACAGAGGTTCAGAGGATTCAAAGTTGGACGATATCGATACTCGGTGTCTATTCACGTCATCCTTACCTCATATTGATCTTAACGAGGATGTTATTTCCCGTAAGAAAAGTTCTTTTAAGTATCTATAACCCTTGGCCCTAAAATAAATTACATATTATAAATTGTTTCAGCTTCTTCTGGGTGTCCTCTGTCCGAACTACTTAGAGCTATACGAAGATCACTACAACTCGAATAAGGTTAAACGAGAGTTGCGGAAGCATCGTGAAACTTTCAATTACATCGCCAAGCATAGTGGCTTAAATGTGACCAGGTATCAAGACATTTATCAACTCTTTTTCGGATTATCAACAGAGTCTGAGTACGGACTGAGACTACCTGGATGGCTAAATACTGTCTGGCCTGAGACAATTATAGACTTGGCAATCCAGGAATACTATGTTTCTATGGGCACGTCCAACTTGAGGTAAGATCACAGAGGCAATAAACCACATTTATACCATTATGAACAGAGGTCGTTTCGATATTGATAGATAGCGCAGTATTTTCTTAACACTCTAGATTCTAGAAAGTCATAAAGATATATTCACTACTAAACACTCGTCATTCATTCAGTTCCCTACTGAGCGGGACCGTGTCAAATGCTTGTTTCGGTAGTTGTTGTCTTCAGTATACAGAAAACAACTATGCCGTAAATCTAAGTTAGACAACGAAGTTCTGAAAAATAACTGTAACATCTATATTGAATTTCAAAAACCCCAACCCCAAATGAGCGGAGCCGTGGCAAATGCGTGTTCCGGAAGTTGTTGCATCCAGCATACAACTTCTTCCCGTTCAAGTGATTGTACCCGCGTTAATGCGAATGCCTCAGTATCGATTGCCGGGTGGCGGTACAAGTCCACCAATGGGCCACTTTAGGTCTATTTAACATCATTAACACGCAAAGAGAAGGTGGTAGACAAGAACCAGTCGGAGACAAAAATGGGGGCTGACCCCGCTGGTTAGGAGCCCTACTTCTTCGTCGCATGCAAGTAGCTTTCTGGATCTCTTTCTGACCACGCATACTGTCCCTTATAGCACTGCTATCCTGTCTCCCCTAGGTAACTCAGACCACGTTGTTGTGGAGGTTAGATTTCGGTCACAACCCGCTGTGGCAGCAGAAACTCGCCCAGGCCGCAAAATTTGGCATTACGGATATGGGAGGGGCTCAAAGACTTCTTTTCCACCTTTCCTTGAAGAGATATTTCTTTCGCTGATGCGGATAACCGAAATTATACACGTTGGGATGGAGGAATACATCCCTCATACAATGAAAATGTCTAAACCAAGGACCAACGCTGGTTCAACAAACCGTGTGACAATGCAAGCCAGCAAAAGATCAAGGCATGCAGAACCTTCTTACACAGCAGATTAAAGGGAATTTCTCACAGAGCAGCCTTCAACCATTTACGTGTCAGGATGGGATGATTGTAACCGCGAAGATCTTTGCTGCCAACTCCACCATGGACGTTCCTCCCAACGCCCGAGTGCCGTCGATTCACTATGCGGGAAGTAACATTCAGACATAAGACCGTAAGATGATGCTCTTGTTGCTCGACATCAACAAAGCTTCTGGTCCGGACTTGATTCCTGACATTGCATTGAAGAGGTGTGCAGCGAAACTTGCTCCAGTTCTTACACCCGTCAACTACTGGCCCAAAGCTCTGATTTCTGTTATAAGTAAGGTGATGCACAAATCGTGAACTTCTGGACTATATCCAACGTCACGGTTTGATTAGCGACAGGCGGTATGGTTTCCGACACAAGCATCACGCTATTGTGGAGCACTCATCCAGTTTTATGGTGAGGCTCATGTAGTTGCTCTTTATATCACGAAAGCGTTCAATCAACTGTATACAACCGCTCCTCTATTCCGAGGAAAATTATGGAACAATCTACAAGATGAAGCTTTACGAAGTTCTACTTACCTTAGGCAGTTCAAAAATCGGCATAACAAACTTTCTTTGGGATACTGATAGCATCCACGGTGTCCTGGCATTTAGACTTCTGCCTGCGCGGCTGCTTCGGTATAAAAAATAAGGGTTGCAAATTTGACACCAGTAAAATGATAGGCATATTTTCGGGAATTTGGATAAGGTGTACTAAAGCATAGTCCAAAAAATTGTTGCAGATTTCTTCGGTTTATTAGAACTGCTTGATTGTAAATGACAATAAATATACATACAAACATTTTAAATGATTACATGGTATTATGCAAGCGATTGCTGTCACAAATAGAGTTTTCAACTTCACTTCACCTGTTTCCTATTCTTTATTTTGTAATCACTACACTTCCGAGTTAAGTTATTTTACATTCATTAATTTTGTAGTATTTCGGAAAAACCTGACGTTCCAGACGAAACATTTTTTCATAATGAACTAAAATTTCATTTATTGGTCATATGTTGAGAGATATCGACTTCTGCTGTCAGATGAAAGAACGTGTTTGTTCATTCGCGTGACGGTAGGTATCAATTAGCTTGATGCTTATGTAAAATGTCATGTCATATGAATATATGCAATGCATAAGCTTATCATCAATTATTTAAACAATGACCTGAGGCAATCACATTGGAAATTGCTGATCATGGATCAACAGGTACTTAACAAACGAACTTTCAACCAATGTCCAGACGATCTGTTGCACCTTTTCCGAATTCACAAACATGCCAACTGGAGAGGAAGTATTGTAGTCACGAAAAGTTTGCAAAATGAGATATTATTTCACAGGTCTGTCTGTATGTCCGCTAGTACTTGACCACTGAAAAATGAAATTTTCACACAAGATTACAACTAAGCCAAGGGCAAGAAACTTTGTAACTTTGAAAATCCATCTAGTGGCAGTGGGCAAAAAATGAAAGAACAGAAATAGCACAAACTTCGTTTTCTGACGTTTCTGAGACTCCTGTTAATTGTCAGAAAATTCTTTCACGGAGTTGAAAGTTGTAGAGGGTGGGATAATATAAGTGTTGCATCTTTGGTATCAGTGAAAGACCATATTCTAACGTAAAAATAACAGCTGAAAACATCAAGTTAGCGCCTGGGCACCATTTACAAACATTTTTCAAATGTTGATTGGAGGGTCGCGTGATGCCCTATTTCGAAACCCATTATGAGTAACTGTTTGACAGACAGTCAAAACTTAGCGTTTTTGTGTATTGAATCGCCTATAACTCAACAACTGATCATCAAAACGTAACAGTATATCAATCTTCCTTTTGAAGGGTATACCTAAGCGTGTATGAGATATTCCTCTCATTTCATTTTAAAAAATCCAAAATCGCTCCGTGCCGCCATCTTGACGCTAAAACATATTGTTCATGTATCAGTTTGATTATCCCGAATTTCAGCTTTCTAGCTTGATCCGTTCAAAAAATAAGTAGAGAGGGGGCTTTTTGAAAAGTCCTGAACTTATAATCCGCGTGGTAGCAAGGCAAAGCATTAAACACCATCCATTTCTCGAAACATCTAATTCGGTCAAAGGGTAAAAGATGGCTTCATAAATAGATAAGATATTTTTAGCTTTTGTTTAGTTAAGCGATACCCATTGAATTGCATTGTAAATTTACGTGTTGGAATATTGGTATCTTTATTTTTTTGTTATATACTCGTATATATATATATATAGCAGCACTGAATGCAAAAAAGGAAACCGAGTAAATGTTTGGAGATTCCTAATGAATTATTTTCGAAATCATTTTCATTTTCTCTGTGGACCTTATTGCACGTGGAGTTAGTGAATAGGTCAATAGTGTCAGTACAAAAAAATGTCATATGTATAGAGAATGTATTGTAATATAGGTATTATAATAATTGATGACAGAATTTTGGAAATACAGAGTCCGTCTATTTGGCGCCATTTTCCGGTTCCTTTTTTGCATTTGGAGTATGACCTAAATCAATGACTGTGGATATCTATTCAATGTTCTGTCCATTTTCAAGATTATCTTGCAAACAACTCAGCAGTATATCTATACTTATACAATATTTTGTTACTCATTACCACCATATAAATATATAATATTGTCTTGGCGTTTATGAGATACTATTAATCTCAATTCTTCTTTAAATCTTCAAGGAAAATGGCAGCTGGGTATTTGTTGAAAAAGATCCTAGATGACGCAAGGAGGATCATCGAGAACAGAGTAAAATTGTGCAGGAAGATTCATCTGTACTCGGCGCACGAAAACAATGTCGCCCAACTTTTGATCGCACTTGGAATTTTTGAACCTCACATACCGAACTATGGGGCCTACCTCATCTTGGAGCTTCATCGACAGAACGGGAAATACGGTTACAAGATTTTCTACGAGAACTGGACTGACAGAAGAGGTCCAAAACTTATGAAGTTACCCAAATGTGGAGAGTTTTGTCCGTTGGACAAATTAATGTCCTTGATTGACGAGCATTTGCCTTTAAATGACAATTTGTGTGGCAACTGATGGAAGCAGTATCATTTTTTGAATGCTCAAATAAGATAAATTTAGTAGAGTATTTACTATTACGTTTACTATGGTGAGATGTACTTAACATAAAAGACGTGAACATGTTATTTTTTGTAACTTTGCGAGTGTTGCTTGTCAATGGCAATGAGTTTGTCTAAGCTTGGTACTTATATTACAAAATGTCAAATTAATTGTTTCATTAATTTTATTTTCATTTAGTTAGAAAGGATATAAAATTTCATTCAAAAGCCCTCTACACAGCTGTTTACTTTAACCCCACCATTGCTGGTATATGACGCTGTATACAGTATACTGGGCGTTTCAACGCTTACCATTGGAGATCTCAGGAACGAGAAGAGATACGAAGTCAGATTAAATGGCAGCGAAGTTGCTGGTTTAGGTGAATAAGAAAATGGCACTCAGGAAGTTCCTCAATTCAGAGATAGTCGGATAATATCGAATTTTCTCAAAATCGTAATTCTCATTTACAATGTTGCAAAATTTAAATTCCAATGTGATCTGGTGGATAAACATATATACCTATCACACGTTGACAATGCAAAAATTCAGTAATAAACTGATATTTCCATATTGGCCTTGATAATGAGAGCTTATCACTTGTTTATTCGACTAATAACTAGAATCACTTCGGTTATTGAGAAGCCTGTTTAAGGGACCATTGATAGAATTTCGCTCCTTTATTGAAGCACTATTTTTAGAACGACGTAGTCTCCGTATTCTCAATAAAAGAGAAGGGGGGACAAAAAGTTAGCATTACGTTGTTTAACTATAGGAAGATTGCTTTTTTAGACATTTGATGTTTTATGATACCAGCCTGTATCATGCTATGTGCCCGCTATAAATTTGACACCTCTTAACTGTTTAGCATGTCTTTTTATAAAAGAAATTTATATACAAGAGTTTAGTATCCAATATACAGTTTTTCAGTTAATGTCTTTTATATGTGCCATCAAAAAAGTTGATTTTTTCAAATGGTGGTCCTTGTATATTTTTAGTGAACATGTTAGTCGCCTTTTTTCTGATTCTAAATATTTAGGGTTTGTTACTATTTTGATTACTTAGCCAAATACGTAAGTCTAATGTGTCATTTAATCGTATATATATATATATATATATATATAACCGGTCCTATGCCAGATTGCATAGGCGGCTAGATGCAAAATGGTTTGAACTTGTATATATGACAAACAAATTTTAGGTTTTTGACCACACAAATGATAATAAGTATGATAAATGATATCCTATTTAGAATCAGAAAAAAGCAACTAACATCTTCACTAATACAGGGTGTTCCATTCAATAAACTACAACTTCATTCGGTAGCACTTTTCTTAGACATAAAGATATAAAAAAGATATTGCACCTGAGACTTTGTATTAGTCCCTACAACTTTCAACGTAACATCTGAAACTTATTCTGTCATTTCCATGTTAATAATCCCCATGTCTGGCCGAATCAAACCACATATGTTTAAAATTCCTCTATATTGCACAACGTTTCGATCCCAACGGTGACCTTCACGTACAACTGATACTTTTTTGACAATATATTTTCATTTATTTTTTCTCTTTATTTTCATACTGTATATGCATAAAGGGGAATTTTAAACATATTCAGCCAGACAAACATGGGGGATTACATACAACTTTTGTATAAAACGTTTATCAAAACGATCTTGCAAAAAGTTATAAATTTATAGCGCGACATCCAATGCATCATTGGAAATCATTGGAAATCGAACTGTTTATCTAAGCCCAGTCTTCAAAAACTGAAATCACATCTGGCAATTTCAAAACCTACTTAGGAAATATGGTTTTTTAGATAATTATAGGTTATAATATTCATCTAAGCTTTTGAAATCAGAAATAAAAACTAATGATCTATGGAAAATTCCAATATGATAAAGTTAATCAAGGACGAGAAACGAAACATATTGTCATTATATGACATTTCAGGTATGCTACCATATGGAGAGCAAAGGTGACAATGTAAGTTCGACTTTGGGAAAATTCTGTTTTTCCGTCTATCCATTGTTTGTCATCAAAATTGCACAGTCTTAATCCATACTTTTAACTCATTTAACTACCAATGCCTACCAAATTGACAGCGTTGTATCAAAACAATAATATTACTTACCGGAGGAAACGTCTACCTTCATTAGGCTTAGGCTGCTCGTTGCAAATTATAACATGCCTTGAGATCGTTTAACACCAAAATTATCAGCAAACATTCGCATTCATGAAAAAATAACACTAAAATATAAATTAAATGACATAAGTATCGAAAAACTAACTTATGCCAAGCGCACTTTGATTCTCTCTCAGAATTAAGAGACAAACAAAACCTTGACTGGCTCCTTCTACCTAGTCTGAATTCGTTGGTATCGGTCACCTTTTCCGAGATGCCGATAATTTGAGTCGAATTTAAAACACAGAGCTAGAAAGTCGTGGCCTCATGAAGAGGAGAGAGGCAGAGATCTCATTTGCTACTTTTTAGTAGAAATGTATGGAAGTATGTTCTTAGACTCTTTATTTATACAACAATATCCTTGAAGACAAAAAACAGCTCATCTCTCATTCTCATTTATTTTATCTGTTTTCATCTATAGACACTTTCTGACCATATTCGCGTTCTTTTAGCCTCCTCGTCTATAGCGATCGATTCACCGATTCGGTCATTTAATAAACTAGGAATGAGGTCATATCTTCTTTAAACAGCGTAAGATGAAATAATAAAAATATGTAACAAAACATGGAGATATTGCGTGATAGTTGTACTATCTAGAAAAACATACTTACAAAATATACTTATTACCAGAACTTTACGATTTTGCTTGCAATCACACACCATCGTACGTTTACTGGTTATTGGATTTTAAGCATCAACGAGAATGCACCAATTCGCCTGCTCGTGGCAGGAAACTATTCACTATAATTATGGGCTGAAAATGTACACTTTTATCATAAAAATTATCACAAATGAGTACTTGTTTCGCTGTAAACAATACTTTAATAAGTTACGTATCCAAAGCTCATAAATATATGGCTTTTAATGAAAATTCAATCGGCGGTTTCATAAATGTAGACATTTAAAAATGCACTCGTGAACATCTATCCTCTCTCAGAGATTGGACAGCGGTGTCGTATTTTGAAAGATATGGGCTTTCATCGTTCCCTAGAAGCACATGTTTTATCAAATGCTATTTCTTAGCATTATAGCGTGTTTTGATTTCAATCAAACGCTAGCTTTTTCCATGGTGGCTTAAGGATGTCCGCATGTTTCCAGACCAAAGCTACGCAGTCGATTATCTTTCCCAACAAAGAAATTAATGATCATGAATCCCTCGAGTACTAAGAATTCCGGACGTAAACTCACTGCATTCTCGGAATGTCCGGGTGGAGGGTGGACTCAAGGGAACAACATCGATGGTAAAATGTGTTTCACGAACATCTGAGGGGTTAACAGAAACATTAATGCTGTTCATAATTACCTGCAATCTAGTTGTCCCGCCATGCTTTTCTTGACGGAGACAAAAATGTGATTCTGCGCCAGTTAATATGAGCTTCCCAAATTACGAGGTGCACTCCAATTTAAGGAAGAACAAGGGAGTTGTGGCTTTTGACGCAGCAATCTTTCCTGCTCCACAGACGTTTCTTCGGAATTAGACCGGAGAGACCATCTGTGGCTTCGCCTCAACTCCAAAACATCACCCAAATATACTTGCCACCTGTACCGCTCTCCCTCGGACCATAGACCATTTACGTGCCAGGATGGAATGATTGTAACCGACTCCAACGCTAAGGCGGAACTGCTTGCCAAGACCTTTGCTGCAACTACATGCCTATGTCTCTGCTTTGTGTTATAAGTAAGGTGATGAAGAGGTACATATGGTAAATCGCGATCTTCTGGACTACCTCGAACGACACGGCTTGATTAACGACAGGCAGTATGGTTTCCGGTACCAGCGATCCACAAGGAACCTCCTAGCTTACGTCACGCAATTGTGGAATAAACTCATTAAGTCTTACGGTGGGGCTCATGTCGTTGCTCTTGATATCACAAAATCATTTGATCATCTGTGGCATGCTGCCCTCTTATGAAACCGTCCATCCCTCCCAGAGAGATTTGCAAATGGGTGGCTGACTTTCTCTCTGGCCGCAAGATATCTATCGTAACTGACGAGTTTTCCTCTTTATCCCACAACGTCAACCTGGATGTTCCCCATGGATACGTCTTAGCTTCGACACTGATCGTCACGATCAATCCAATCAGTTTTGCTGATGACAGTTACCTACATGCAGGAATTCAAAGCGACAAGCCGATCTCTGCCAGTGAGCTGGCCAGAAGAAGACTAGCGACGACTTCCTCTCTGACAAGAGACCTGGAGGCTATCACTGATTGGGGACGCAACAATCTTGCACAGTTTAATGCCTCCAAAACACAGTACCTTGACGAACAAAAAGCATCCTAGTGCTCATCGGAAGAGGTATTACGTATCTTGAAAAGTGACATTATATCGGGTTTTTGACAATATATAGGTTTTTTGGGACATTATGTAGGTTTTTCTACAAGATGTCGGTTTTTCTTGACATTTTATAGATTTTTGTGACATAATGTTAGTTTTTCCACAAGATGTCAACTTAGCACTGGCTGTTATCCACTTAATGTGTACTTGCTCCGTAGCTGTACGTGTTGCGTAAACGTCTTAATGCTTCACCTACCAATGTTTGGCTCTGATGTGATGTAACGTCTGCTTCAGAGATGACATTATTGGAAATCTAAGCTGTAAGTTGTATACTATAGCTGGAAGGAAACGATAGTGCATAGGTGCATAGTGAAGATTTGTGTGCTAAAAACCTGAGTTGATGGTTAGTCCATTGGTTTCTTGTCTCAAATGCGCTTACTTGAGACTGCAAACCTTAAAATTAGTTGCGCATCTACTTTTTCTTATTCAACCTGGAAATTACTTATGCAAATTTGCTGGATTTCAAAAAAAGAGCGATAAGAAAAGAAATTCACTGGTTGGTGAAGTATATTAAAACTAACAGGTGAGAAAATATAGGAAGTACATACAGGAATCTTTATGAAACGTAAAAAAGTTATTACATTTCACAGTAATTATCATTTTATAAAAATTTATTTTACGATGTCAAGTAAAAAATACATATCAGCGCCTAGATGTGAGGCAGTGCGAAAATGTTTTGTATGTGGTGAGTGATTCCTAATTTTTCTGTGATGTGGCTTAATTACACACAATGCGGGTGTGGTGATGATTCCCCATAATGCTTCTTAAAATTCTTGTAACCCCAAAAAGACGGGGTAAATCGTAATGTATAACTTTGAACATGACATCTCTCCAGAAAGAACAGCACAAATAACCCGTCTGTGTACATAGCAAATATCACTGAATGTACACACATGTAGACCAATACACACAATCATCCACATGTGATCTTGCTACAGACTATCTCGGCATTCTGCAACCAACAAAGCATGATCCGGAACTGCATTGCAGCTTGCAGCATGGTCATTGAGCGTGTCGTGTTGTTGAGTAATACCTCCATAGATGGACGCTTTTGATGACGTTCGCAGCGCTCATAGCGAGCAAACGCGGAATGTATTATGTGCAAATATTAATTATCTAGGCAGCAAGTTGTCATTTTGTGTCGGTTTTTAACGTTTTATAGGTAAGGTTTTACGTAATTGCCCTGCCGGATATAATTCTGACGTGTATCAAATAACTCTGCCGGTTTCGATGAATGGCCAAGCTCTGCCAAAGAGCCGTTCATTTCGGCACCGAGGACCTGATTTGACACGAACACATCTCGTGAATAGCGGCAGCTTCTGAGAAAAAGCTGGGCTATTTTTCTAGGGCCATGAATTACTTTTCTCCGCATGACCTTCTCACTCTATTCAAGGCCCAGATGAGACCGAGTCTCGAGTATTACTCACACTTTTGGAGTGCTGCCGCCCCGCCTACATTATCCACGCTGTTCGACTGATAGATGACTCCTGTCTAACAGACAGTCTCCAGACCCTTTCGCACCGGCGGGCCGTCGACGATCTGTCTCTCTTCTACTACTACAAAAACGGGCTTTACTCCTCAAAGCTCTCCTCCATTTGCCGCCACGCGTTGTTCCTGCCACACAGATCCGCCTGACTTCCGCCTCCCATCCTAACCGAGTCGCACTTTGTTCATCCAAAACTGGAAACGACCGTTCCTTTGTCCCTAGGTTGTCGATATGGATCTACAAGAGTAGGCTTTCCCCAATTCTAGTAACCTTATTCAGTTCAAAAATCCGGTTAACAAGGTTTCTTTGGGATCCTCATAGCAGCCGAGAGGTGCTCTGGCATTTAGGTTTCTGCCTGCGCGGCTGCTTCGGTGTAAACAAAAATCACAACGACAGAAAAACCGACTCGGAAGTGGCATACCATTAACACTGGCACAATTCAACAGTCACAAGGTAGTGTGTACATACTGGATCGATGCTTGACCGCTCAGGTGTATGATTTAGTTATGGTACCCATTCACATACATTTCGCCTGCAGTTCTGGAACTGTACAACCTGAACTGAAGATTCAAACTTTCTCAGACCATACACTATTCAGTTATTTGAAACGACGCGGCCTGCAGTTTTGAGACTGACAAGTTCTGAACTGCAGGAAAACTGTGCCTTCTCCACTCACACAAACATTTTGTCAGTTCTGATCGGCCGAGAGAACAACAATGGTGTTAATTAAGATGTTAAGAAAAAAAAACTCGTAGCACTTCTTGTACTATTATTATTACAAGAGCCAATAACAAAAAAACGTTTTTGGGTAAAAGATTGGTTGTTGCAAAGTGATACATTATCTCATATGACATTAGTGCGAAAATTGAGAACCAGTGCCACAAATAACCTTAATAACTATCTCAGAATGGATGATATGTGCTTTAATGAACTTTTATCGATGGTGAAGCCATTCATATCAAAGAAAAATACAAAGATGAGGAAATCAATCACAGCCGAGGAACGATTGATAGTTACCCTTCGATATTTGGCCACAGGACGAAGTTTGGAGGATTTAAAATTTTCTGCAGTTATTTCACCTCAAGCTCTTAGAAGAATAATACCAGACACTTGTCAATGCATTTATAAGGCCTTAAAGAAAAAATATTTGAAGGTAAGTAAAAATCAACAAGTACAGATAAAAAACTCACTGCTTTATTATTTTTAATACAAAAAGTACAAAACATGTATCTACATCAACACGGGTTGATTTTAGTGCTCCTTTTACATGTCATTCAGTTCTTTATATAACCCTTGAATGATTTTTTAAGTTATTTTAAAATTAACAATTCTGATAATTCTCGGTTAACATCACATCGTTATTGATTAATGCTGCGGAATTGGAAGGCCCTTCTAAATTGTATTGAACTATGTGGATTGCTTGATTTTGACTCAGGCTAGTGTTTTGTCCATAGTTAGTATTGACATTTGCTTGATTTTGATTGAAACTTGTATTTTGTGTATAATTAGTATAGACATTCGGATTGTAAATTTGATGACTTAGTGAAGTGTGGGATGATTGAAAATTATTTATATTAAGAAAAACATCACTATGATAATCTAATTTCTTTTCAATTCCAAAAAAATAATTTTATTTATTAAATGTTCCGCATATGTTCTCTGGTTTTCATCCATCCTACGTAATTTGCAAGCTACATTATTTCCAACTATATCAAATTCATCTTGATCGTCTGAACATAGGGTTTTGCATGCTGTTTCCATTAGGTCTTCTCTTGATCTCTTTGGGTTTGTTCGATTAGTAGTAATTGTTCGATTCCTACTTGGAGTTCGGGATTGTAATTCAGCTGTTGAACATCTGCTTGCAGTTCGAGATGAGGACTCAGTTGATGGTGTAACCGGATTTTCGAGCAATAAAGAACAGGTATCTTCCATATCAGTATTATAAACAATCTGTTCTGCACCATTTTCATCCTGAAATAAAATATTGTTTTAAAAAAATTGTGGCCTACATACATATTATTTATTTTCAGTTTCCTGAAACAGTTGAAGAATGGCAGAAAATTGCACGAGATTATAACAGTCGATGGAATTTTCCTAATTGTGGAGGCGCCATCGATGGTAAACATATCAAAATAGTCAAGCCCGTCAACAGTGGATCGTACTACTTTAATTATAAAGAATATTTCAGTACTGTGTTAATGGCTATCGTGGATGCGAATTACGAATTTATTTATGTAAATGTTGGATGCAATGGGAGAATATCGGATGGAGGGGTCATTGAAACCACAAAATTCTATGACAAGTTGTTGGAAAAAGCACTTAAATTGCCCTCCAATGAGACAACTATTAACAAAATGAATTTTGTTTTTGTAGCAGATGATGCTTTTGCCTTAAACGAAAATATTTTGAAACCATTTCCAGATAGAAACCTAAGTAAAGAACAAATAATATTCAATTATCGCCTTAGTCGAGCTCGTCGCACAGTAGAAAATGCTTTTGGAATTCTATCCAATAGATTCAGAGTGTTCCATACAGCAATCCCTATGAAGCCAGAAAAAGTTGACAAAATCGTATTAGCGGCAGTGGTGTTGCACAACTTTCTGAGAGGACATACAAACAACTACATTCCTAAAAATTACGTTGATTTCGAAGTCTTAGATACTGGTGACGTAGTAAAAGGCTATTGGCGCAATGGAATGATGCTCGATGGTTTGCAGCCCATTCTAAATCGACATTCATCCCACGAAGCTAAAGAAAACCGAGAGATGTATTAAAATTATTTTTCAGGTTTCGGAACAGTTCCCTGTCAAGAAAAATTCTCATAAAATTAATTGTATGTAAAAATAAACTGATATGTTGCTCGTGCATTTAAACTGTTTTTTTCTTCCTCTCATTATACCTATGAGAAATGCCAATATCCATTTGTAAATATCCTGAAAAAACAGTCTATGGGTAGGGCACTTTGATAAGAAAAATTTAAATACGTGTATAGGATGTACCATTTAAAATAACAATAATTGCAATTTACCAAAACAAGTCACCCTGTATAAGTGAAAATATATTAAGCTGAAAATAAGTATCTAATATAAAAAAACTGGTCTAAAGCATTGTCTTATTGAATTTTTTTCTGAAATAAGGTGTTTTATAATAATTTTATATGGGCCACCCTATAAGACTTAAATTTAGCAAACTTACCTCAATTTGATTTTCTTCGTCACTTTCAATATCATTTGATAATGATACTCGAGGATCCTCTTAGTCCGCCGTGAACATCAACAGCTCAAAATACCACAAAGTAGGTACATAAATGTTATCGGAAGATTCACCGGATCGCTTAGATTTACGCACTTTTTTCAGTTCTTTACGAAAAGCACATCTTAAATTATGATTTTTTTTAAGAGTATCAACGGTTGCATTGCTGTCGACACTTTTATATAAGTCTAGTAATTTCTCGTAAGCTTTATTTTTTTGGCGTCTGTCTGAATAAGATTTACTTTTTATTTTCCACAAACAAGGTAATTGTCTGTATAAATTAATCAGTTCACTCAAAAACGTAGTACTGTTGCTCGATTCTGCCATTTTATGTGCAAAATGATGAAAAATCTTCCAACACGTTTGAAGTTCCCAACCGCAGATTCGAACTGTCGTCTTTACCCCACACACATCAGTCGATCATGGGATTCATGTGATCTGCAGGCTCAGACCTGTCGGCGACCTGTATGTGTATTGACAAAATTCAACTGAAGATATACAAATCGACAGTTCTGGACTGCAGGCGAACTGTATGTGAATGGGTACCATTAGACAGTGGTCGGATGGTCAGATCGCCAGAGTCTCGCCGCTACTACGCTAGCTGGGCAGTACCTTGCGCGGCACTGGAAACGTAGAAATGTCCCTATGTCTACACCACTGGTGCAGCATCAGGCACGAAATTTTTTGCACGCATTGGTTATGCTGAAGTCTCAAGACTCAAGACAACAACTTAACCCTCTCCAGATACAATTATTTATTTTTCGATTTAGAAGTTGTAACTTCATCATCGTTTACCTCTGGAAGGGGCATTTAAGGATCCATGTTTGTGTATAAACCTTTGTCTTATTTTTTTATCTGTTTCATGGTTATCAGAATTAGACTGTATTTTTGCGTGAAGTATATCAGTTCCCTCAATGAAGCCTGGATATTGCTTCAAAGTTTGTGACTTCTTTGACATGCTTTGGGGCATGAATAACTAATCAACACAAATTGACTAGTCTTAGCTTAAATGTTCTCTTCATGACAAGATTTGTTGGTCATTCTTTGAATTAACAGAGACCGGCAATGTCTGGAATCCAAGTTTTCAGTAGATCTAAACCTTTGGTTATTTCACCAATTTTCCTAAATTTGCGCTATGGGCTCTGGCACACTTATATACCTCAAAAATGTTTGTGATGTAAAGGAGAAGATAACCAATCACTCAAATGTTGGGTAAATGATTTCATAATCTCTAGTCATAATGGCAGTCTGCATGAAAGTCATGGAGCATAGAAATTGCAGGACAATTCTGCAGTGATAAATTTTAACACTCCTGAATCCTAGCACCTTGTATAGCTATCTCAATCTGTAGATATGTCACTGTAACACCAGCAGAAAAAGGTAGCAAGACTAGAGATATTCAGCAGAATATGCAAGTTATTTTTTATGAAACTCAAAAGCAAAAAAATGATACCAAGAGTATGTACAAAACTACATCTGTGTGAAGAGCTTCAAAGATAGGAAACATTTTTCCTTGTGCAAAATACTAAGTATTCAAAATTGCTGATTCATCCAAGATTTTAGATGTTTGCTATCCTTTCATTTGTCCTGAGATGATTGACCAAGCATCGATCATGCTAATGAGTAGCCAAAAAGCAAGAAACAGTTGCCTTTGGTCAGATGGGCGAAAGCAGTATTTTAGTAACCAAAAGCAGATGACAGTCATGTTACTTGAAAACATGTTTATGTAAATTGATAAATAAACACTCTATTATACAATATTTTATTCATGAAAAATAACTAACATTAGAGTAAAGTTAATGATCTCTCAACTACTGCATGGGGCTGTCCAGCTACCTCTGTGAACTCTTGTGTATTGAATATATCTTCTGGCCCAATTTCCATGTCCCTGCCAGTCAAACAATCTAGCATGATGTTTGAGGATGGCAAAAAGGGAAGTCTACCAATTTTTCTGGCAGAGTGCTGTTCCATAGCAATCCTTAAAGGGGCATGCAATCCTTGTGTATTCCTTAGTACAGTGAGGTTCATCTTGTCAAGATTTTTTCTGTACTGTAATAAAAATATCACATCCATAATGGAAATAATGTATACAAAGTATCTTAAAATTACGAGCCCCTTCCCACTTCAGTTGGCCCAACTATTGAAATCTTAGTTTTTTACACCAACTTTATCACTCCCTAATCAAATTTGCAGCATAAAAATAACATATGTTGCAATTACAGCATATCAACCTATTTCCATTTCAGTGCAAAATAAGTCTATAACGCATAGGTGGCTCTGAAAAATAAAATCCATGACAATTGTTTTTATTGATCACAGCTGTCAGAATACATTTAAAATAGTTTTGGGTAGTTAAGGTTTTCAAAATGGGTAGAGGAAAGGTTATTAGTAAGAAAATTCGGTTACTGATAATAAAAAAATTTAATTCTGGGAAATCAAACTCAGAAATTGCAACTTTGTTAGACTTATCGCGGTACAGTGTGAGAAATATTGTTAGAAGATATAACGTAACTGGTTCAGTTAATATTAAGCCACGATATGTGAAAAAAAGTAATATCACAAATGCCGACCAAAGAGCATTAACGGGGCTCCTACAATCACGAGCACCATCTGCTGAGGTAACGGGGGGGTGAAAAGGAAACGATTGTGGGCTGGTCTTAGATAGCGGTCGGCGCTACTTTAAAAGAGGAGAGGATGACTGCGGGTGCCTACCGAGGTAAATTTTTATAATAACAGAGTCGGATTTCGATTAGCGATCTAGCCTTTAATCGTTTCCTATTTTGGTACTCAGCTAGTGATCATTTAGTATTGTTCTACCCTTGTTACTGTTCGTCGATACTGTGTTGTTGAATTGTTGTGTTGTACTCTTGTTGGTGTGATTGTTCTTCAGTGAATTTTTTATCAAGGTCCATAATGGACAATAAAAGGTCATATGCGACAATTTTAATTACGAATTCAGAGAGTTTAATTCATGATGAGGACAACAATAGTGTGGAGCAGTTCAACTCTATAATCACAAAATACATTGGGGTAAGCGAATAAATTTATGCAAGAAGAGGTTATACCATGGAAGATGTGCTGCAGCTGTAGTGAGCCACAATACCGAGCGGCCTGTCTATGTGGTCCAAATACAAGAATCTTGAAAAGAAACGCCAACCAAAAAAAGTTAGATATAAAAATAACTAACAATTCGGATAGCAATTCCAAAGAAAATATATGTATAATAGTTTTATGGTGAATTCAGTCAAAAACCTGAGATGAACGACATTGATTTGGAGGTTGCTAAGCAAGAATTTTCCATCTACCTATTACAGTAGACAAGACATGTACTTAATCCAGGTATAAGCCTACCTCTTTATTGCTTTGCAAAAACTACCTAACTGTTTCCTCTTATTTTGACGGCATAAGATATTTTTATGACCCTCGTTCAATTGTTACCATCTACCACACGACCCTTGTAAACATAGTTGTGTTTATTGACATGAATAAACGAATTAGAATTTGAGTTCCTGAATTTATCTCAGGAAAGATATAAAATTATTTGAATACATTTTTTCTTAGTCGGAACGCACCGTCGCGTCGCTTGGGCTGGCAGGACGAAACAGTAGATGAATTTCGCCCAAAAACCCATTTGCACTTCACAGCTTACTTTTTATTATTTCCAAATGAAACTCTTGCAGCGTGCTAAAAACAAAGTCCACAGGGTGCCAGCGATCCACTTTTTCGATTTTACCCACTAGGATCATTTTTAAATATCAAGAAGTTGAGCACAAATAGTGAGCATTTCATAATTCTTGCGCAAAGACAAAATTTTGTAAAAAGCTCTGATACTCATAGCACCCTAGGCAATTATGGCCTGCATATATCCAAAAAAACATCACAAACTGCAGAACACAAAAGGTAACGGCGAAATGGGCTCATTTCACGGGTTATGAAATTCAAATGAAAATGTAGGTATAAAATCTACCAAATGATCATTCTCAAAAACATATTTCCTTGACATATCGATAATTTTAAAGTTTCACGCTAAATTCCCCTATACTTGACTGGAGTGATATCCGAATTTATTCTTCCCTACTGTCGGTAGTTGCAGATCTGTTAGCTGTTGGTGTTAAACCTATAGAGCAGGTACCGATTTTTTGAAATCGTGAGCACATTATTCGTCGGATTTTCGATACATAAATTTCCTGTAATCACTGGGATCAGAAGCAATAGAACGTGTTTCACTGATTTCAAGCAGTACAACTTTTTATGCCAATGATTAGGAACCCCTGAAACGTCAAAAACGGAGTTTCAGCAATTGTTACTTTTTCTTTTTCTGCCTACAGCACCGTCGCCACTGGACTAAAACTACAAAGCTTTGGCATACTAGTAACCGCGTGTGGAAATTTCATAAAAATCCGAGCGATAATTTCCAAGTTGATGATGAGTGATACTTTTTCGTGATGTAGATGTCATATGACTTAACAAAACATAACAACTCATTTTAACAATTTTTCGCGATTACAATACTTCCTCGCCAATGACGTGGGAAGTAAAACGGCTTTAAAATCGAGGAGTATCAGCGATATTATATGAAATAGAGCCACCAAATTATCCGAATACGTCCTTTCTTAGTCCGTACATTGCGCCGCAACGCTTGGTTTGGCAGCACGAAACATTAGACAAAATTCGTCCAAAATACATTTGTAGAGGTTTGCGCGCTTCAAAATTGCTGCTTTATTTTTTGATATTTTTGGATGAAATTTTCACAGAGTGCTGAAAAGAAAACCCGACAGTGTGCTATAGAGCCACTTTTTCATTTTTTTTTACTAGGTTCTTTTTACAAAAATCGCGAAGTTGAACAGAAAAAGTGCGCACTTCAACCCATCATAAAACTTGTGCAAAAACAAAATTTCAAAAACTGCTCCTATAGCACCCTGGGCAATTATCTTCTCAACATACTGTATGAATTTCATTCAAAAATATTGAAAAATGGAGTGTCATGTTTGAAGCAGCTGAACCCTTGTAAATGGCTTGAAACTCACTTCGTCGGAGCCGCCTTAAGAAGAATAATAGTGAAAAACAGGCGTGCCAATTATCTACAATTAAGTGCTCTGTGGAGTGACGCTATTGGAAGGAGAATTTCGAAGAACATAGACAATGGACACCTCAACAATGGTGTGCAATACAATGGAGTGATGAGGCCCGATTCGAAGTTTGTGTTGGTGACAGTCGCAGTAGAGTTATTCGCAAAAAAAATGAAGGATTCCATGTTGACTGTCTGAAGAGAAAAGTGAAATTTCCAGGATCCATTATGGTCTGGGGCAGTATGTCATCAAAAGGAGTAGGAAAACTTTATTGATACAAACAAATATTTTGCAATTTTAGAAGAATCGCTTTTACCAGTGATGGAAGAATGTTTTTTTTTTTTTATATTCCAACTACCACGAAGGCCTAAGGCCTAAGCACCCATTGGGTACCGTGGGGCTATAGGGGGATACATGGGAGAGGGGGGACGCCACACGGACTCTGGCGAGGGAACACGTGTGCATGCAACATGCACACATTCTGGCTCCGCCTACGAGAACCGCCGGGTGGTACCTCCACGTTCGATAGTCAGAGACCATCTACCACCTACCGACAATCACAACATCCATAGCCAAGAGAAAAATTTCTCCTGGGACGGGACTCGAACCCGCACAGCGCACGGCGACTGATCAGGAGACCGAAGAGTCTACTACTGCGGCCACCGCTGCTGTCTAACATACGGCAAAGATTTTGTGTATCAGCAAGATGGTACAGCATGCCATACCTCAAAAAAGGCTATAAAATGGATGGAAGAAAATAATGTACCACTTTTAAAATGGGTTTCTAGCAGTCCAGATCTGTCACCTATTGAAAATTTGTCGCAAAAGATGAAAAAGGTTCTACGACAACACCCTGCTCATACAATCACCGAACTGAGACAAAAGCTTCAAGAAATATGGGATTGTTTTACACCAAATGTTTGCCAAAACTTGGTTAACACTATGCCCCAAAGAATTTCAGCCATAATAAAAAATAAAAGTGATGTTACCAATGGTAATCTTTTAATTGTTGCTTTGTTAACTTCCCGCATTTATTCGCACATTGTTTATTTGTGCAGATGTTCTATTAGTTATAGGTCTAAGTGATTTCAAATATGTATATTTTACGACCTGAGTTTCATCATGTTTAGTTTATAAAGGCCTATTTTGGAACAAATCTTGAAATGGTCCAACTGAAGTTGGAAGGGGGTCGTATTATGGTAGACAAGGAGCAAAAATCACTTGAAATAAATTGTCTTTTACAAAAATACACTGGTTCTCATGAATACTTCTTGTTTTGAAGAGATTTTTAAAGTCAAGTTTTCAAACATTTATATGATGTACCTATAAAGACCATAAGATATACTCTGGGCTACTAAATCTACAGCTAGTTAACATTAAACATGCCATAACTGGTCAAAAGGCTGCTAAAGAACTTTTGCATATCATCTTATCACTTTTGCACACTCAACTTTATAATTTTTGACAATGTACAATTTGATTTAATTATAATGGAGTTAATTTGTTTATTTCCTTCCTAAGATCCAAGTTTGATACATATAATCATGAAACAGAGTTTGCTTATTTGAATCGTTATGGTAGAAATATGATGTATGTATTGAATATCAGTATGTTGTGTTAAAGGGATTAGAGCACATAGCAAAATTATTTTGCTGCCGATGGAAATGAAGAGAGCAAAGTATAGCATGTTTAAAGTATTGTAGAATTCAAAAGACAATTTTTCTCTGCTCGGATGCCATGGGGTAGCTGCTTCGTTGACCCCAAAGAAAATCTAATCATGACATAAATGGTAGCCCCAAGATATTAACCTGGACTATCAAAACTTGACTAGCATAGGAAAATAAAACCACTAAGATATACACATACTGTGATAAAGTGAGGTTAAGACATGACAAACATTCTTTATTTGGAACCAAAATACCTACATTCATTTCTGACGCAACCAAAGCGTGCACGGCATCCGTGCAAGGCTTGGCAGAAGCTAATCCATTGGTCATAACATCCTGAACTCCGAGAGACCCTTCTTTGAAGCCAAAGTGGTCAGGAAGTTCTGGCTTCACTTTAACCGATGGTAGTGCAAAACTCTGGAATCAAAATATTTTTTTTCTTGTTTTCGCAACGAAAAGTATTTCTTACCATTTTGGGTTGTTTTTTACAGTTATCAGACCAAAATCTAATAGAATGAGAGGAATTTATGAATATGATTCGGCAGAATTTTGATTTTGTACACACTTTTGACGTTTGTCATTCTTGTCACTTACACTTGTCACCGCAACCCAATGTTGCCGAACCGAAAAACAAAACACTAAATCGGTAGCTAGTGTCATTGCAATTCCGTAGATTCAAGGACAAAATCTGTAGGAAAAAAAAGCATGGTCTGCTGGTCAATGGTATTCAGTTACGCAGTGCGTTTAGGAAAAAGAGTATATTTTTGTATTACGCGCGGACACACAAACCAGGTTTCCTTCAAACATACAAACAAACTGGAAAAATAGCGTTTTATTATTGCACACGGAACACAGGCATGCACAGGTTCTTTCATGAATATAAAAGCAAATTAAATGCACAGTAATTGAGTTTGTATATTTTTACAAAAATAGAATATAACAGGCACAAACTAACAATAATAATTTTGATGTGGTTCAAAATCTGTAGCCATATTTTCAATTTTCCCACCAGAATAAATTCGATTAAAAGGACTAACTAAACACTTCTCAGCTAAAAAGTAAACTTTAGAGATGTTTTTTCTAATTCCAAAAAATTGAAGTGGCCTAAAAAATAATTTTCATGAAAAATGGAGCTGACTAGAATTTGCATCAAATTCTTCTATTGGAGTAACACATACTGGGATTGTAACAGGATGCTTATTATTTCTGAACATCTATCAAAGGAACCAACGACTTACCTGTAGGAAGTTTGTTCCAGATTATATGAGCTATACTCGTCCAATTAGATCACACACGTAGTAACACCATTTATGCTTTGTCGAGCACAACATTTTTAAAGGTACCCCGTATACAAACAAAATACCTATCTATCTTGCGTTTCTTATCGGCCCAGGCATATGAATCATTACACTGTTGAAGTCGAACTTCAAAAGAGTAATTACCCGGGAAGGGTTCAGGGTGGGAATCTAATTGGACGAGTATAGCTCATATAATCTGGAACAAACTTCCTACAGGTAAGTCGTTGGTTCCTTTGATTATACTTCGCTATACTCGTCCAATTAGATCACACACGTAGTTATTGAAAGTAATAATTACTCTTTTGGAACTCTTGGTATTGCAAATAAATAATAATCAATGAGATCACTGTAATAGAACCACTTTTTATTGCAAAACTTATTTTAATTCAAACCATATGTATTCAAATACTTTTAATACTACTAATATAACATTCTTATTATATATATAGGAAAAAAAATGCCTTAATGTAAGACCTATATCCCTAGCTATATACTAGCTTTTATTCATTAACATAGACTCCAAAAAATTTAATTCACTTTGCAGAGGTCTGTTATAGAACCTAGCAAATACTTCTGACTTTTTCGTCCAACCAGCTAAATTCTTTATACTATCAATGTTCATCCCCGTTCCAGCAGCCGCTGACGTTGTTGCATGTCTGACACTATGGCTTTTAAATTGGTCAGTATTTATACCGCTGTTTTTCATTACATCTTTTATCCAGCGACTTATAGATTGCGGAGATGCTATATGAACAGGATTCCGATAGGTTAAAATTAAATATTCTTCGTTTCCCCTAATTGGTTGAGTTATTTCCAAATACCTAATTAATGTTTTTACAATACATAAATCAGGACGTTCGATAAATATATCAAATTTTAGCACTGGCTGTTGACGATTATAATTTGATGTTTTTAGCATATCGGTAATATAAATATCTATACCGTTCTCCCTATGTACTATATTTTTAACTTTAATTTTAGAGATAGTTTGTATTCGATGCCCAGAAGCCAACGTTAACAAAATGACTAACTTTTTTACTAACTTTTCTAGTGACAAGGTTTCTAATGGATACCATTTTTCAATATAATCCAATACTACTATAGGATCCCAGGTAATATTATATTTAGAAAAACTAGGTTTTTCCCGAAAGGCACCTTTCAAAAAACGCTTAATTAATTGCTCATCTGTAGATGAGATATTCAAAATTAAAGATAAGGCAGACTTATGAGCATTTAATGTCGCAAAAGAAATATCTGTCTCAAAGAGAAGGCTTAAAAAGGAGATAATATGACCAACACTTGCGACGTATGGTCTCAGTCTATTTTCCTTACAGTAAACCCACCATTTACGGAGAGTACCACTATATTGCCTCAATGTAGATTCACTTAATGATTTAATCATTAATGGTATAGCTTCTTCAGGAACTTCTTTTTCTACAAAAGATCCCCGGATAATATCGACGCCACTAGGGGTATGTTCTTCCAAAATGGATGGCTGGTTCTAAATGGAGATAAAAGTAAGCTTTTATTGGGTTTAAAAATTAAGGGTTTTGTTGACGAAAGTCTTAGAAACAAAGAAAACCATGAATGATTGGGCCAGTAGGGAACTACAAGTATTCCTTTAGATTTATCTTTAATTAGCTTATTCAAAACCCGTCCAATTATGGGAAAAGGAGGAAACGCGTAAAATTTCCAGGATTTATCCCACTTAATTGTAAATGCATCAGATGTTAAGGCTCCTGGATCTTTCAACCATGAAATATAAGTATTACATTTAGCATTTATCCTAGATGCAAACAAATCGATATTAGGCTTACCAAACTGTTTTACTATTTTAGAAAAATTCTTACTATTTAACGAATATTCCATCTCAATATTTAAAATTCTCGATTGTTCATCAGCAATTATATTATCTTTGGATGGTATATATGAAGCATAGAGCATTAGTTCCCGTTTTTCGCACCATAGCCATATTTGTCTACTTAGATTACTCAATTTCTCAAATTGTATGCCTCCCATTTTATTTATATAGGCTATGGCCGTTTTATTGTCTACACGCAGAAGAATGTTACAGTTTTTTTACTCTGAAGCAAAACACTGCAATGCATAATGAATAGCCAAAAGTTCGAGAAAATTAATGTGATGTTTCATATCTTCTTGATCCCAAAACCCATGGGTAACTTCTGTATTACATGCAGCCCCCCATCCCGTTTTGGAAGCGTCTGTATAAATTTCGTAAGCATATTCTTTACTACCCAAATCATTAAAAGATGTGTCTATTGTCTGTTTCCACCACAATAGTTCCCTACAAATAATCTTTGATAGTATAATTTTAGAATTATAACTTCTAAATCTCTTTAAACTCAAAAATTTTGCTCGTTCTAATCTCTTAATATGCAACCATCCGTATTGTACAACCGGACAAGCTGAAACTAACAATCCAATAATACTTGATAACTCTCTTATTTTACATGTTCTCTTCCTAACAAAAGTATTAATTGCATTTAAAATTGCCTGTTTTTATGTTTGGGAAGATAAAATGTCATGTTCTGACTATTGTAAACATATCCTAAATATTCACAAACTTGACTCGGGTCAATTTTTGATTTTTTAAAGTTTATTAAAAAACCCAATTTTCTCAAAGTGGACAACACTATAGCTATACTCTTATCTACTTCACTTTTAGTTTTTCCTAGCAGTAAAATATCATCCAAGTAAATTATACCCAGGATTCCGAGTTGCCTAAAATAATTAAATATTGGTTTTAAAAGCTTAGTGAAAACATAGGGTGCCGTAGATAAACCCATAGGCAAGCAATTAAATTCAAACAGTTTTTCCGCAAATTTAAATCTAAGAAATTTCTTATCTCTATTATTTATTGGTATCATATAATAGGCATCTTTTAAATCGATTGTAGCCATGTAGATATTTCGAGAAATTAAATCTTTAACAGATTTATAATTATCCAATTTGAAATGAGGTGCTTTCAAGAACTTATTGAGATACTTTAGATTTAATATAAAACGTTTTGTTTTGTCGGCTTTTGGTATAAGAAAATAGGGAGATAAAATTTGGTTCTCTACTGGTTGACATTGACTGATTACTCCCTTGTTCACTAAATCCAAGATGGCAGCGGAATAGTGTCTTATCTCATCGTCCTGCATTTTCTTTGGAAGATAACTATATTGAAAAGGATTTTTGAAAAATGGCATCTTATATCCCTTGACCCACGACAAAATGGTCTTATCCTGAGTAAATTGCCGCCAATTTGCCATATAATGTTTTATTCTGCCACCATATACACTGGTACCCACCTCTATTACTGGTAATTGCGTCTCTGGTACACTTTGTCGTGGCGATCCTTCCCTTGAGCCCGGTCTCTTCCTTGAGGGCGACCTTTCATTCTTCCTTTGTGGAAGTGAGGCTGGTAGTTTAAAGATACCGAAGGTCTCTGCATGAGGTTACCTCTGAAGGACTTATCAGGAAAAACGTTATTTGAGGTAGATGGCAGCTGTCTTGACGAAGATGGATGAGCATTCTTCATTTCTTTCCCCGTTCTCCATTGGGCCTTAACCTCTTTGAATTTATCGGCAAAATTTTTACCACACAAAAATTCGTCAGGTTTACTTTCTCTGACGATTTTCTTCACTGTAGAGTTTAAGTGCCCTTCTACGTGATATTTCCGGTTTGTGGACATCATGTGCAAAACGCCACACAAAATTTTGCCAGCGTCCACCACACTGGGTAACATTTTGGATTTAAAAACCATCGAGGCTGCATCCGGTGCTGCTACATCTTCTTTCAACATACCATCAATTACCCCTGCGATGGCAGCCAGTGCTACGCCCACATGCTTCTGAATAGTAGAAACATATTTGTCCTCTTTTTTGACAGGATCACCTAAGGTTGCTTCCAATTCCGGGTTCAACAAAAGGGCTCGTAAGTAAGGAATATTTTTGGGAATCAGGTATTTTTTGTCCAACTCCTCCTTGTCCGATTTCTCTAAACCTAATGTCACGTACTTGGTCCATCGATCAGCCAGAGATTTGTGAACCTCGCTTCCTAATACTGGCTCACTTCCCGACGGAATTTCCAGATTTTCATCTTGAGATTGTTCTTCAATTACAGGAGGAGACCTCTCTGCCTCATTGATTATGACTTCTGGCTCTAAATGTGTATACGTTTGTCCCGTACTATATACACTGCTTATACTTCCTGATGAATCAGAATCAGAGCTGGATTCACATAAAAAATATATACAGTCCTCACCTACTTGCGCATGCAATATCCTTAACATATTCTGTAGAATATGTCCTGGGTTTAACGGTTTTACCCTATTTATATGTTTTTCACGTTATGTGAAAACTGCAAAAGGCTTTAACGGTTCTAGCCCATTCTTAATACATTAGGTTTAACGATTTTACCTAAAAACAACTTACTAGTGCTCTTACACCTATCACCTCGCCGACTTTTCTTGTCAATTTTCTCTAAACTCTTAATTAGTTTTCGCCGTTTTCTCTCCAATCTTGCAGCATCACTACTTGTTTTTCGCTTCGGCATTTCACGAATTTCCACCAAAATGTAAATAAACCGGTCCGTACTCGACGAAGCACAACAGTGTAATGATTCATATGCCTGGGCCGATAAGAAACGCAAGATAGATAGGTATTTTGTTTGTATACGGGGTACCTTTAAAAATGTTGTGCTCGACAAAGCATAAATGGTGTTACTACGTGTGTGATCTAATTGGACGAGTATAGCGAAGTATAATTTGTATTGTTTTCATTGAGTTAATAGCAGATAATATCCGCTGAAATTTGGCATAAAACAAATTCAAGCGAATAACCAAATGCAAATGGTATTTACCATTTTGGATTGGTATAGTCGAAATCACGAAAGATGACGATTACGTCATCATTTTAGTCTGTAGTAAAAACAAACGACAGCGATTTGTGAATATTTCTAATGAAGTTTCAGATATGCTAAATAGAGACAAACAGAATTTTATTGTCTAAACAGACTGTATCACTAAAATGCATGTATCCGACAAAGATAGACGGTTGTTTTCATGGTGCATGATCGATCATATTTGAAAGATGAGTAGTTAGGTTATGTTAAAGCAGGTTAGGTTGTTTTCGAATAATACTTTGGTCTTTGGTGTTTCTGTCTTGGTATTCCAATCATAACAGTTTTTTTTCAAAACTGCGCACTAAAATGATTTTTACTCAAAACCATGAAATAAAATGAAAATGAAAATAATCAGTGGAATAACCTAACTTCGCAAAATCATATTATATATATGCTGTCATCATTCCTGACATCGTGATTTTATCATCGACGTACGCGCATTGATTCCTTAAGTACAATTTATGGTATGACGTAATAGTCATCTTTCGAGATTTTGACTATATCTTTTTTCATCATTTCTGCTAAATCAATAAATGTTTTCTTTGACATGCGGGAAAGTTTAAAGAATTGGAACTTATCATAGCTACAAAGTCATGGTTCCATCATTAAAATGTTGGGCGTCATATCTTTTATTTTCACGCCAATCTTGTTTAAAAATAATAAATATTTAATAATAATCCCATTAAGTCTGTCACAAGCCTCAAAAATGTCGAAAAACGCAGTTTGGCCGTTTTGTGTTTTTGGACGATAGCTCCACCGCCACTGTACCGATTTTCAAAAACTGCAGAGCTTTTTCATAATTTTCATAGTAGTAACCTAGGGTCAAAATTTCATAAAAATCCTGATAGTACTTTCAGAGTTATCATTTATTTAATCTTTTTTGTAAGTTATAAAATGGAAGTCAATATGTTTCTCATCTAGTCTTGCATTGCAACAGGACATTATAATGAAACAACTGTAAGCACTTGATAATTTACTAAAATACATATCCCTATACCAGTCATAACCTGAGAAACGTACAAAATATTAGCAATATGAAAAAAGTGTTGTTATGGCAGCCTATGCCTTGTATAAATACTAATTTAATCCATTCTCCTCAACAGTTAGTTACGAAACATACATTATTATTAATAGGTAGGTATTAAAATCAAAATACACACATATCACTACTTCAGCACCATCACAACAAACAAATAAACAATGTCGCCGCTACTGGTTCTAACCTAAAACCATCAAACACATGACATCTCGTGTGGGAGCGTAACGAACCATGCTTCCAACGTTGTAAGGTCCTTTGAAGCGGTCAAATTTACCGACAAGAGCCATGCGGCGAACGTTGGACACATGCAATCCGTCAGCGCTCTCCCATACGATGAGGCAATTTATTAACCCTCAAACTTGTCAAAGCCCCAATGTTTCTGGATGCCAACAGTGTTGTCAGGTTGTGTTCGGCAACACCTCACTGTTTCCCATTCTCCCATATGAGTTGACTCCCCATGCTGGGAACACTGCGGACACAAAACATATACTATTGACTGCGGAACTGCCGCGACCACAGACCGCCACACCTGTATTGTCAAATTTTCTCATAGGACATGACAGGCTTACGTCATATATGTCGTCTATGTCAACTTGTGTGTCATCACCAAATTCGTAATTGTCAATCAATATGTCAAGTGTGTTGTCAAATGCTACCAAGGTGGAAATACAGCCATGTGTTTTATAGAAAAATTAACAGATTGTTAATAATAAATTATTTTACAAAGAGAGTTTATTATATACATATGAAAGTATACTATAATTATACACTTTTCTGCAATACAGTTGTAAATATTACTAGTCCAAGATGGGAAAATCCAAGAAAGGCCGTAAGGGAAAAGACGATAGGTAAGTGAAATTTTGAATTTTGATGAATTTTCTCCTCATCCTCAGTTTTTCAGCGAATCTGATAATGAAGCTACAACCCAAGAACTAATCGATAAAGCCAACAAGAAAAACAAATCCAAGTATGAAAATTAGCTTCATTTTTATTACATCACATAGAAATATTTACACCATTTTAGGAAGAATTCTATCGATAATGAAGTCACCGAAGAAGAGAAGAAAAAGCTGCAAACTAAACCTGCCAAAACCAAGAAAGCGGAAGCGAAAGGCGACGATTCTGATGCCTCAGATGTTGAAATGGCGGTGTCCAAAGTAAAGAAGTCATTTGCGCTCTTGCAAATGGATGATAACGAAGATGAACCTGAGCCTGCTCCCCAACAGGATGATGATGATAGTGAGACTGAATCAAAACCATCCAAAGTGAATAGCAAAAAGAAAACTAGTGATGATCGGACTAAGGAACAAGGAGGAAAGAAGGGTAAAAAGGGTCGTAGGAAACGTGATGATAGTGATGAAGATATAGAAAAGGTCTTAGCTGAACTGGAACTGGAATATTCTGGTGGGAAGAAGGATGAAATGCCACAGCCCATAGATGAGTCTAAACAGGTGAACTTCCTGTAAACTGATTAATAAGATTACTTCTATCTTGTTTGTTAGATATTTATCATTAAAACAACATTATTTACTAAATTTTCTTTTCAAAGTTTTCATTTTACAGTACCTGCCTATGTTCTTGTACGCAATGTAATAAAAATTGTTTTTGTTCCTCAACAGCAGTCATTAAGCCATGAAAGTGTTTCATTAACTTGACTGCTCTTTCTGCCATATTGTTAACTGCTATTAGTGTTTGCATCTTATTCTTAGCATGCTGAAAAGAATCATTCTGTGGCCATGAAGTTGGACACACGTCTGGAAAGCTGTCATCAATTTTGAGTTGACTGAACAAGGTCTTGCTTTTGATTGAAACAAAGTCATCGATACTTTTCTCTAAAATGAAAAAACAAAGACTAGCTACCATCATGTTTGTGCTTTTTGGCAATCAGCATCAGCATTGTCTAGGCTTGGCCTCAGGTCAGGCCTATGAACAAAAACATAGCAACTAACCTCTATCTGAGGTATAAGATCTATCGAAAACAAGATAGTATAACGTGCCATCTGTTGCCAGAATCGCACTTTAAGCCGGCTAAGTTTAACAGTTAGCATATATCAAAGCAGTAAAAGAAGACAAAGGAAAATTTATTCTTCAGGCTTACTATAAAGTGTACCAGAATGTTCCTTTTTCGATGGGAGGTAGCATTTATGGTGGGGTGATCGACTTTCTTTGGCTAAATTAGCAACAATTTTTACTTTCTCTCTATCTCTGCCAAGGAAAATTATTGAAAGTTCTATTAATTCTCAATAGTCATCTGTAACAACTTCATTGGTCAATTTATGTCGATAAAATTATAGCAGCTTGTCAGTCTCTGAAATATTCAGGCATGATAGCTTTTCAGTATAAATTTGTATTTTCTTGTTAAGCCAAAATAAACAGTTCCTTATTAAGTTTGTATTCCAGAAGTATGCAGGTACCATTCCTGCATACCTGAAGAGTTAATCAATGTGGGCACAGTGATAAGTTACTCTTTATTTCTAGATCTTATAACTGATTGTTCAGACGTTCTTGTTTAGATTTGCGTGCATTTAAAAGTGGCAACAGTTTGCCATCCCAGTGGGCAGTTACAGAATCCGGTACCTAGCTTTGGAAATCAAGCTTAATAGCGTCTGCGTGCTCCTTTCGCTTTTTGGTATGAATTCTTTGAATGGAGGACTTGCTTATAGGAAGCTCGTCAATGATTGCTTCAATAATGAATTCGATTTTTTCCAAATACATTTTTTTATTTAGATAATCTGAAAAATAGTTTGGAGTATTCATAGTGCTATTTACCTCACTGATCACATATGGGACCATCATAGAATATGCTTGTGAGGTGTAATCTGATAGATTGATCATATACTCTTTATTAATAGGAGGAAGAAAAAGAGAAAAAGAAAAAAAAGAAAGCAAAACAGAAAGAAGCTAAAGAGGAAGAGGCAATTGAAGAACTGACTAAATTAGAAGAAGAAGGAACTGGTGAAGAGGGTGGTACTGTCAAAACGACGGCGCAAAAGAAGAAAGACAAAAAAGAAAAAGAGAAACAAAAGAAACTGGCAAGTAAAAGGCCAGAAACTGTCAAACAAGGCAGTGTAGAAGACACAACAACAGAACAGAATGAAAAAGAAGAAAACACAGAAGAAGGAGATGCTGGTGAAGATGATAAGAAAAGCAAAAAGAAGAAAAAGAAAGGCAAAGATGAAGAGGAAAAAGATGCTAAGGATGCCAAAAAAGGTAATAATTCTTTCAAGAAAACATTTTTGTTTGCTTATTTGAATTCAATGAAGTCATACTGAATTCTGCTATTCCTTGATAGGCCCTGGTAAAAAGACTATTGCGGCTATGCAAGAAGCTCTTAAGAAAATGAAGGAAGAAGAGGAAAGGCTCAAAAAAGAAGAAGAGGAGCGAATTAGACGTGAAGAGGAGGCAGAAACAGCAAGGCTGGAGGCACTCAGGCAGGAGCAGGAGCGCAAAGAGAGGAAAAAACAAAAGGAAAAGGAAAGAAAGGTAAATTCTGCCTCACTGTAAACAAAGAAAACTTTCAAATGAGGATACAGTGGTTCCTTATTTAGAACAAAACAAAATGTTCAGTAAGTTGACTAGTATTGGAGCCCTAAATATTCTTACACAATATAAGTTTACCCCTATAAAAACTGTATATTTCATTCAGCAACTATTAAATGTACAGGAAGCAGTCCAATTTGCTGTCCTTTTTGTAGTCTTCCAATATTTTCATAAAATTTTGAGACACAGCCATTATGTTATTTCAAAATGTTTCTACTCTGAATGTATATTTGCTCATATTACCTTCAGATGGTTCTGTGACTTAGGCATTCAGAGATATAAATAGCAACTGTACTGGCATTTAACAATTTCAATTTATAAATGTTATCAATTGTTGTTACATTCTTTGATAATGCTTATCATAAATATGGTATCTGTACATGAACACATTCGCACATGACTCGTTTCTCTCTACAGGAGAGACTTAAAGCTGAAGGCAAATTGTTGACAGCCAAACAAAAAGCTGACAGAGCAAGAGCACAAGCATTGATTGACAGTTTGAAAGCTCAAGGTGTAGAACTTCCAGATGTAGGCGAGAAAAAGCCAAGACTTGGCACCAGGATACGGCCTAAGAAGCAGAAGGAACAGGCTGAAGGCAAGTTAATATGCTGAATATCATATAACTTCTTAGTTATTTTACGATTTTTACTTAGATAAATAATTATTCCTTACATTTCATACTATTTGAATAGGTAATAAAGAAGAGGAACAACATCAAGAGGAGAAAAAAGAGGAACAACCACCTGTTGATGTAGAAATTCTAGAGCCAGCAGAAGCCAAAAAAGAAGAACCAGCTGAGACAGAAGACGTTAAGGATGCATGGGATGCTTCCTCGAGTGAAGATGAAGAATCTGAAGAGACACCTGCTAAAGGTACACACATTGTATTCTTATATTTTTCCATGCACCAATGCACAGTGCAAACTTCAGGAAGGAGTTGTTAATTGTTGATGCGTTACAGATGAGGGTAAACAAGAAACTAAGACCACTTCACAGCTAAAGGGATCTAAAGAGAAAGTGGAAAAAGACGATGATGAAGAAGAGAGTAGTACAGAGGAAAGTGATGATGAAAGTGAATCTGAATCAGAATCTGATGAAGAGGATGACGAATCAATGACCCAGGCACAGAAGTCTAGGGAGAGAGCATTACAAAGGATTAAGGTATTAATTATTTAGTACTATTATACAGGGTGGCGCAAAATGAACCTTTTGGTTTAAATTCTGCGTGACATTTAAATTAAAGCACTAATTAAAGTTATTTCGTTTTCAAAATATAGTAAAATCAGGTATGAATTATGCGATAATCTGAATGTTAATCATATTATCTAGAGCTCGTGCTTTTGCGTAAGCTTTTCCATAACAATCCAGGTACGGTAAAATGCGGTAATTTCGGAGGCAACTGTAAATAGGCTCACTGCCAAATGATAAGCCTCTTTAACAAAGCCATGCTAAAATAAAATCATCCAAGACATGCTCATATACAACTTTCTGACTCTGAGTTCTTATATTCCAGATCTGCTTTTGGTCACATTAACTTTAAATGTTACTGTGTATTGACATTTGGAAGATATAACAACAGCTGTACTGGCATTTAGCAATATCGATTTGTTAAATGTTATCGATTGCTGTAACACTTGAAAGTATAAAGAGTCTTTTTATTATTTGATTTATTGCTACTATTATATCCTATATTTTCAATTTAGTGTTTATAGAACAGTTTAATTGTGTATTTGAAGTAGTTTGGCAGCATTTAAGAAGAAGATTGGAATTTCGCATTCTACTGAGGTTTACTTGACATATAATGTTTGCTAAACAGACTGTTATTCTTGGAAAGTCATCAGAGTTGGATTCGGAGCAATCCAAACAGTCTTTAATTTTGCCTGTGTTTTAGAAAGACTACCAACATACTTGAATTAATACTGACCAATACATTTGGATTATACAAAGAAATGTAGACTTCTGTAAAGTCATTTGAACAATACTCTTACGTATCTGAATTTGTTTCAGAATAGAAAAGAGGAAGCCGAGAAGAACAGAGATCCTGAACACCTTAGAGCAGCCATAGTGTGTGTATTAGGTCATGTAGATACAGGAAAAACTAAAATCTTGGACAAACTTAGAAGAACTAATGTCCAAGATGGAGAAGCAGGTGGTATTACTCAACAAATTGGTGCCACGAATGTACCTATAGACGCAATTAGGGAACAGACGAAAATAGTGAAAGGGGTAAGTCAAAACGACAGTTATTTCGATTTTGCTATTTTTGTTTTACATTTGTATAATATATTGAGAAAATGCCCTCCTTCGAGATTTGTGCTTAATTTTGAAATCCTGTATATAATGATTTCAAAACAGAAAGAACACTTGGGGACTCTGAGAATGAGCTGAAAAATGCAAAAATACGAGTGCGTTGATTGTTAGCTATTGGGTAATTTTTCAAGAACTTTGGCCACTTGAGATGTGGGTGAGATATTATTTTTGCTGTGGGCGGTTGTGAAAAAACTATAAAATAGCGGTTTTTTATTTAAATCGAAAATTATCAGTTTCAGAAGAAACTTTAGTAAAGACGTTTTTGTTCATAATGAATGGAACAATATTGAAAATATTTATAGTTTACCTAGACTTCTCGCGCTACATTGGTCCTCACTCCCACGTGAAGGTTATTAAGAAAAACAAATAATGGAAACATTTTTACGAATGGTGCTGCAATTTTACCTCGTCTGTAACATAATCCTTTCTGTAGTGATAACGCGTTGCGTGTAGAGTCGATCTACTTGACGAAATTTTTTCGCAGTGTTACAAATGGATGACTGTAAAAATGCTTTTTTTTATTTCAGATGGCTGATATGGAAATGAAGATTCCAGGCCTGCTTATCATCGATACCCCCGGTCACGAGTCGTTCAGTAACCTGAGGAATCGAGGTAGCAGCCTTTGTGATATTGCCATTTTGGTTGTTGATATTATGCACGGCTTGGAGCCGCAAACTATCGAGTCGATCAACCTTTTGAAAAACAAGAAGACACCCTTTGTGGTAGCTCTGAATAAGATAGACAGGCTATACGATTGGCAGACCATGAATAGAAAGGACGTGAGGGATATCATTAAGGGGCAGGCTCCTAATACTCAACTGGAGTTTGAGCAGAGGACCAAGGAGGTGATAGTGCAATTTGCTGAGCAGGGTGAGTTTACTTCTTTGTTCTATCAGAACTCTTCAAAAAATCATATCACGGGAAATATATGGCAGGAACACTGGCAATATCTTATTTCACGACGAAATTGAGCCATCTATTTTTCTTTCAATTTTGTTGCTAAGATCGTGAGGATTTATTGTATAAAGCAAAATATTTCAATTGGCGCACTTTTTAAATATAAGTCAATCGGAATTGTGGCAGATTGAACTCATTCTAATTGTCTGTATTCCAAATTCACTTTTAGTCACATTGACATTACAATATGTTTGTGCATAGTGATGTTTGGAAAATAATAACGACAGCTGTACTGGCATTTAACGATATTGGTTTGTTGAATGTTATCAAATGCTGTTACAGCACACGTTAGCCTATAATTATAATCCTTGGATTTTTGAATTTATATGTCTTAGATAGGCTTTGTTTATAATGATTCTTACTTCCAATATTCAAATTTATCGCAAGATGTTTTTTAAATCTTGGTACAACTACATTCTTTCGTGTGAAACTTTGAAACCAAAGTTCATTTTCGAGCAAAACAAATTTTATGAAACTTGCTTTCTGAAACATGAAGTCAGTTTTTTTAAAGACCACATAATCCGTATATTTGAATGAGATGCAAAACACTGTTATGTGAAAGGGGACTTACTCTGTTTCACGAAACTTATGATTTTTGGTACTTAAAAGAGCAAATATGTTGAGTGTGCCACGTCAGTATTAAGAATACAGGATTTTGTGTACCAAAATCTAGAATTTAGTTGCCGAGAGGTTGCTGGTGCATGAGAGGAGATGTCGAAGAAAATTGATTATGAATTGAATGTTTCATGCTTGTTAGCAATCATAAATACAGTATATGTCTTTTAAGATACAGTCAGACAGTGGAAAGAATCACAGCATAATGTAGTCCACTGAAAAACTTCCTTAGGTACCCATGGGTAAAAATGCATTCAAATAGGTTGACTCTGCACTTCCCACGTAACACTCTCATCAGTTCATAAAGGATTATGTACTGTCTAAATTAGTCCCTTTGAGCTAGCTACAAACATGTATAATAAAGAAATTGAATGGGTCAAGTCAGCCAAACTGGCTCATATACAATTAGTCCATACACATAGTCCCAATTCATTTCATAGCTAGTTTTTTTCCTACCCTAAGGCCCCTATCGTCAGTTGTCCCTACAATTGTAGGGCGCCTTTATGGCCTCCTTGATTGTTATAGTTTTCTACTTCTCCGTGTCAGCGCACTATTTTGAGGTTATGTCACAAACATCTATTTGCATCAAATTGTGCTTGCTTTTGAGTTTTATCATGTATGGAATTTCCTACAATTGAAAAGGAAAACATATCTTAACAATAGGAGAGCGCTGACGCTGACACGGGACGAGTGTAATTTAGAAATTTTTGAAGGAGAGAAAAGAGTAGGACAATCAAGGAGGCCATAAACGCGCCCTACAATTGTAGGGACGACTGACGATAAGGGCCTAAGTATCGACCATCTGGCACGCTGCTTGGCCACAATAGTCAAACACATCGTAAGTGCCAGCCACGATACTATAACATCAGGATCAGGCATAACGTTAAGACTACAAAGGTTTTCGATCTTAGCATAGTTGTAACCATCTGTGAAAATTTCATCCAAATCCGAATAGTACTTTTCAAGTTATAGGGGGTCCAAAGATTAAGGGTACATGTCATATAACATCTAAAAAACATATATCATTTTTGAAATTTTTCGCGATTAAATATTTCCTCGCCAGTAGGCGAACGAAGTAAAAAGTAAGAGTGCAGGGTGATGAAACTGTATTCAAGTCTCATATATGGGTTGTGCAATGATGAAACAAATAATTTCCTGTTTCATAATGCAAGCTCCATGAGATTTGTTTTACAGGCTTACTATTAAGAGTTTTCTTTGGACCTGATGCACATAAGGACAGACTATTTTTTATCTGACACTTTAGAGACTTTAAAGGTGTGCTGGGCCCTTTTGTTATAGTTGGATTGTTGGTGGCTTAAACACTGCCTATTTTGATGCTATAAGAGACTAAATTAAAGAATTCTCTTGCTGGACTAACTAGTTCATTAAAATTTTACAAGGTCTGTAAATCAAGTGATGAGACTGGCAACGGCAACGTAGCCTCACACAGCAATGTCAATAAACGAGTTTTTGGCCAGTAAAAACGTTCATGCGGCGCCTCAGCCTCTTTATTCGCCTGACTTGAGTCCTTGTGACTTTTTCTCTTCCCGAAGTTAAAAAATCACCTCAAGGAATTCATCTTGGGGCAGTCGAAAACATTCAAACGGCTGTAACCGACCAGCTGAGTATCTGAGTTCCAGCACTGCTATGAGGAGTGAAAGAACCTTCTCCAATGCGGTGTCGCTTCAGAAGGAAGTTATTTTGAGGGTGAATTGCAATTATATTTGAATAAAAAATTAATAAAATCAGTCACATCAGTTAATTTACAGACCTCGTATTACTTCTTTAAAGCAGCACACCAATCCTTTCTCGTATTTTACTGTCAACAGGACTTAATGCGGCCTTGTTCCACGAGAACCCGGACGTACGAAGCTATGTATCCCTGGTACCCACCAGCGCCATCACTGGTGAGGGCATGGGCAACCTGCTAGCTCTAATAGTCGATTTCTGTCAAACGAAGCTGACGAAGCGGTTGATGTATTCTGACGAGCTTCAGGCTACCGTGCTGGAAGTGAAAGCGATCCCTGGCCTGGGAACCACCATTGACGTCATCCTGGTCAACGGTACTCTAAGGGAGGGCGACACTATGCTATGCGCGGGCACGGATGGACCCATCGTTACGCAGATCAGGTCACTCTTGATGCCGCAGCCAATGAGAGAGCTGAGAGTCAAGGTACTATGCAGTTCAAGAGCATATTAATAATGATAATCATAATAAAATGACTTTATTGGGCGAAGCTTAGGATAAGCTGTACTACCACTCAACCTGTAAAATGTCAGTGCAAAAAATAAAAAGGAAAACATTGTATACCAATAAAAATGCAGAGGTTTCAACTAACGTGTATGAGCAGGGGTGTGACATAAATTTATGTTCATGATTGTTCCAAAAAGATTTTTTGTATATACTTTTTGAAATCCTCGAAATTTAAGACGTAATATTAGATGGTAAATCATTGTACATTATAAGTAAAACATTTAGTCAAAATGAAGTTATGTGAGGAGGCATTATTATTGTAACAATGAAGCCAATATCTCGTACACCCACGAATTTCATGGTTCTATACACTCATAGAACCACCAAATTTAAACTTGTCTTTTAAAAATGGTGGAATTGTTGGAAGTAAAAGCTTATGAATATAACACTGTAAATGAAATTCAAATAGATTATAGGAATATTCAAGCCACATCAATTTTATGAATGAGGAGGTTAGGTGGTCATATGCTTTCAAGTTACAGATTAATCTGCTACATGAATTTTGAATTTTTTGTAAGCACTTGACAGAAACTGAATCTAAAAATGGATGATGAACAGTATCGCAGTAGGTAATTTTTAAAATGACTCGCAGATATTTTTTTTAGTTTTGTTATTGAGAATTTGTATTAAAATTTGAAAATTTAGGCATTAATAAAGAGATACGCCTAGATTTTGTACAGTTTCACCATGTATAATTTCACCATTTAATGATATAGTCGAATATGTATTCATTGCATTTCTAAATTATTTAGGAAAGATTATAATAACTTCTTATTGATCCAAGATTAGATACCTTGTCGATGGATCTCAAGTCTTCATTAATTTGAGCCTCCAAATATTATATTGTCAGTATTAAAATTGTTGTATAGCTGCGAGTTATCAGCGAAAAACTGAATATTGCAGTGTTCAACAACCTTATCAAGATCAAAGATATACAGGGTGGCCAATATATAACTTACTGATTGTTGCAACGATTCGGAAGCTACGACAAAATTTTTCGGTCTAAATAATGTGAGCAGTGTCAACAGGTGAAGACTTCCCAAGATCGCGTTTCAATATCTCCCAAAGTGGCGAAGTTGCGAGCAGTCAAAGTTGTTATCATTTTTTAATTGATTAGCTTAAATATGGATAATTCGATTTAAAAGAAAACAATAAGGTGCTATTATGTGGCTGAAATTTGGGACACCCTGTATAATGCTGAATATTTTAGAGAGAATGAGGGGTGATTCCTTGGGCAATCTTATATACGAATTACCCCTGAAGTTTGGCCATTAACACCCTATATAACATATTTGTAGTATATACAATGTCCACATAAGTAACTGCCTTCCTTTCGGACATTTCAAAAAGAAAACTGATAGTTGCCTAATGATGTTATGGCATTATTGACTTTTCAAGACATTTCCTCTTGATTGCAGAACGCATATATCGAATACAAAGAAATAAAAGCAGCCCAGGGTGTGAAGATAGCCGCGAAAGACCTAGAAAAAGCGATAGCGGGCCTTAATCTCTACGTTGCGCATAAGCCGGACGAAGTGGATGTACTGAAGGAAGAAGTAGCTAAAGAACTGAGGTCTGCGCTTAGCAACATCCGGTTGGCTGAAAGAGGTGTGTACGTCCAAGCGTCCACCCTTGGGTCGCTAGAGGCGTTGTTGGAGTTCCTTAGGACTAGTAAAATACCGGTAAGTTTGATGTTTACTTACCAGAGAATCTGTTTGCTACATTGCACTGTTGATAATTTGATCTAGTTATGTCACAAGGAAAGAATTGAAAAAAATACGTGTAACACCTACATTATTGTTTTGTTCAAGATACCTGTCATTTAAGCACGTTTTGATTTTAAACAAATGGTAGCTTTTATAGTTTTAATAATTTTTAAATAGCACCCAATGCAGCTTGTCCAGACTTGGGATGCTGTTACAGTATTACATGTTTATGTGTTCTAGTGTGTAGCAGACGCTATTATGACTTACTTATAAACCTCTAAAGATTATGGGCTAATCTTTCTAGTGATCAAAATACTACAGACTATACTACTATGTCGGGTGTTTCAAATTCGACTCTGACCATTGGGATACTGAAACGGTATGAGATATGAAGTCAGTTAAATGAGCGCAAAGCTGCGCAGTAACTAAGAAAATATCACTTTGAAAGTTATGAATATTTCGGGAAAAAACAATTTTCTCAAAGTCGTTTTAATTTTTTCCTGACTTTATTTGACATGGGATTTCAAAACAAAAGGCACATTGCTACTTTTTCTCCTCTACATGATGGCATAATTACAATTTCAATATGTCGTTTCGTCTCTTGTCTTCAACTTTATTTTTTCTTATAGACGCTATAATTTGTTTTTTTGCATAGATGGATAGTTTTTAATTCTGATTCTAAAAATGTATAATATGTCATACATTGACATTGTCAAGCCTTGGTTGTTGAAAACAACAGTTTCCTATGTATTCGTTGAAAGTATCAGACAGTCATTTGTTTCATAATATCGTCCGCCAAGCATCTTGCATTCAAATACTATTACTGAGGTGTCATATAGAGCGTCTCCATCATGCTTATGAATATGATGCTTGTTATATTCGATAAATCAGCAAATTATCTCAATGTTCTTTAAACACGCTTTTCAAACACTAAAGCCTTGGTGATTTAACTGTCATTTTCAAAGCCGACTGAGAGATTATTAATTTTTTTAAATAATTTGCCCCGCAAAAATCCAATATCCAATAAGAAAAATAAAATTGATGATTGAGGACAGTAGACGAAACGTCACAGTGAAATTCTAATTACGCCATCTTACAGGAGAAAAAGTAAAAACGTTGATGTACTTTTTATTTTGAAATTCTGCCTCAAATAAAGTTAGGAGAAGATATAAGCGATTGGGAAAGTTCAGTTTCTTCCGTATATGCCCCCATTTGACGGACTTCGTAACTGTTACCGTTTCCGACATCTCAATTGTGAGTTGAATTTGAAACATCCGGTATACAGAATACCATAATTTATTGCATAACCATGGGATCTCAAAATCATTTCGTCTACTGCCCCCTTGAGAATCGATTATTTTCTAGCCCCCGCAATTGTTCAAGATGTCTGTTTGGAGTAGGGGGTCTGTTTCAGTACGACTGAGAGTGAAGTAAGAAACACATATCAACTATTGAAATTGTTAAAAAAAATTTTAAATGACGTCTAAAATTTCTTATATGGCTCACGTAGAACATAAGTACAGTAATGGATAAAAGTATATAGACAAATTAATATTGTGATGTATTTCTTTTTTAACTTGTTTTATTCATACACCAACATATTTACATAATTCGTTATAGCATAATACACACTTATCCATAAATAAATTCATTAGACTCCCTTCAATAGAAAATTATTGAAAAAAATGGAATTATGAATGACAAAAATATATAGACAAAGCAAAGCAATTATAGAAAAAAGAAGCAACGTTCATTGAATTATAGAAAACCAACCATGTTTGTGTTAATATTTTGTAGCATAACCATTATTATCAATCACCGCCTGGCATCGTCTCGGCCTAGATTACAGAAGTTTCATCAATCTGTCTCCACTTTTAAAGCGGCAAAAAGTTCATCCTTGTTTGAATAATTTTTATCTCGTATTTGCTTATCTAAGTATTCCCATATATTTTCAATGGGGTTTATATCGGGAGACTGTGAAGGCCATTTGAGAACTGGTATTTTTTCATCCAGAAAGAATTTCTTTGCGGGATTTGACGTGTGCTTCGGGTCATTATCTTGCTGGAAGATTGATCTTAACGGCATACTGTCTTCCATATAGGGTAACATGACATGCTTTAGTATGTCTGTGTACACAAACTTATCCATAATGCCATCTATTCTATGTAATCCCAAACCCCGAAAAGCACCCCCAAACCATAACAGACCCGCCTCCATGTTTGACAGTGGGCAAAGTGTACTTGGGGTTCAAGCTTTGAGCACTAGGACGTCTAACGTAATGAACACCATCTGATCCAACCATATTGAACTTGGATTTGTCACTGAAACATACCCTCTTCCAGTCACAGATGCTCCAATCAAGATGCAACCGTGCAAATTGTTATCGGTCCTTACGGTTTTTCCTCGAGATTAGCGGCTTCAAATCATTTAATCTTCTACTTATAGTTTTTGTAGAAACACTGACAGTTCCTTTTGTCTGGATTTCGGCTTTTATTTGTCTTGGGGTTTTAAACGGACCTTTAGACGAAATTACTTTTTTAATAATCTAACTGACCTAGCATTTAGTTTTCTAGGCCGACCACTTCTCTTAGAGGGTTCCAAGATACCTTTTTGTTTATATTTGTTCAATATTGCCCAAACTGCTTTACGCTTCAGCTTCAAATGTGTGGCAATGTCGACTCGACGTTGACCATCTTTGTATATCTCAATGATCTTAGTTTTCACATTGAAATACATTTCTGGACCACGCTGTATGGTTTCAAAATCACTCAACTTATTCCACAATACTTGATGAACACAAACTAATCCTCTTCTGACACGAAACTGTACTAAACTAATGTTGAAAAGAATTTGTCTACATATTTTTGTCCCTCATAAAAAAGTGCTTATATTCAGACTTGTATTGTATTCATTGCAGATAATGTAAAAACAAGGAATTTAGTTGTTCTACTAATAACGCATTTGTTTATGGAATAATGAAGTATGAATTCGTTTTCTAAAGGTATTTAGGTAAATATTCATATTTGTCTATATACTTTTGTCCATTACTGTATATGTGGGCTCAAAGTTTTGTGTAGTTTATGAATTAAATGGACCATTTCTAGTGGGAGTAAATTCCCGAAATTCCTTTTTCAACCAACATAGCATATCGTCTTTCAGCTAATGTAGATTTTTTAGCACATAAAAAGACGACCATATTTTTTCTATAGCATCAGATTATTTTCCATTTAGCATATCTTTTATTTCCAACGGTCTAAGCACTGTAACCATATTGTTGATGTTATCTCAAAAATAAATGAAAGTTTGAAGCAAACAAAAGTCGTATGGGAGTTATGTCAAAGAATTTTAGTATGAAAACCCTTAGAAAAACTGATTGGATAGAGCGAACCCTGAAAAAAATTATTTGAGTATAAAACACTTATTTTTCTTGCTTTTGTAAATGGCTCAAAAATATACCAGTCTTCTATCAAAATGCCAATATCTCTTAAAAAAAATTGTCTGATATAAAAATAAGTAAAGTAAAGATAACAAATATTTCCAGAAAATTACATTATCTGCGTGCATTGAATGAAATCAATGATCCACGAAAATTCAGTATTTGCTGACTTCCAGAAAATTCATAAAGCTGCCGATTAATGAAGATATTGTCAACATTTTGGTGCACACCCACACAAGAGCTTTTATCCTAGATCCCCATTCAGAATGTCAACTTAATAAAGTCGCCATTGAAAAACAACTAAACTGTTTTCGACCGACTTTTATGTATATACGTTGAATGGACTAGCTTCGTGGAATGTCCTCGTTTCCCCGAATAACAGAATTAGACGAGCGGTGAACGACGAGGAAAAGCAGGGCAAAAGGGCAACACGTAAGGGGTGACGGAGGGACACTGGAATAGCTGGCCATACGCACAGGATCCATCACATTGAAATCCTGCGGTGTACGTGACACGTGCTTAAAATCGCTCGTGTTAGTACTTGCGTCGTTCCTTAGCGTGCGCTATGTTTTGAAGATGAGATGGAAGATGTGCATTGATTATTATATTCCACTAAAAGATACCCAATCCAATCGAAAGCCATGCTTGGTTGAAAATACACATACGTTCCATTTCGCCGCCGACCACGCATGCTTACAACTATATGAGTGTCGACCACCGTCTTTAGGCACCAGACTGTTGCCGCAGCTTATGGGATTCCATTTTCAGTCGTTCACAAATTCTGATAATACAAAATCTTTGGAGTAAGCACGTGGTTGAAGGATCATGTTTCATTGGAAGGTTATTTTTTGTGTTGAAGCAGTTGCGTAGGCCGAAACCTAAATAGCGGAGCACCGCGACTGCTGTAAGGGGCCTAAAGACACCTCTTATTTTGAAACTATATAAGGTTAGCAGAACTGGGTAAAGCCTCGGCCAAATTTTTTCACAATTTCGACACTCTTGGAACGAAGGATCATCCAGTTCTGGATGTAAGAAGTTCGACAGAGTTAGGATGGAAGGCAGAAGCCTGGCTGATCCGTATGACTGGCCCAACGCGCGGTATCACGGAGGATAGCTTTGAGAAACAAAGCTCCTTGATATAGCAGTAGAAGAGAGCTAGACTGCACATCGGTCCGAAGGGTCCCGAGAATGTCCGTTAGAAACGTGTCATCGATCAGTTGGACAGCCCTTCTCTGAACAGCATGGGGTTTGGCAGCGGCACCACATCAAACATGTGATCAGTACTAAAGGCTGGGTCTTATCGGGACCTTGTAAAGAGTGAGGAACTTAGGCGAAGAAAGTACTTCTTAGCCCTAAGCAAATAATTTTTTTGTATCAGCTATTACGATTGTCGAGATGTGTCCATGCCACATAAAGTCTTCGGTGATCTGGACTCCGATCAGCCGAAAGGAATGGCTCTTTGGCAGAACTCGGCCATCCATCGAAGCCGGTTGACCACTGAAGCGCTTTTTGTTAATCAAGCATTGAATTGTACCAGCTT